ATGGAACCCTTACTACTGCAAACATGTGCTAGTAAAAGTTTTTTTAAAATGAATTTTCCAGGCCGGGGATTTAGCTCAGTGGTTCCACCACCTGCTGTGCAAGTGCAAGGACCCGAGTTCAATCCCCGGTACAAAAAATAAAAATAAAAATGAATTTTCCTCTTTAGCTTCATTCACCCCTTAAACCATCCCAACAAGGAAGGGGAATATTGTGTGTATTTGCCCTTCACCAGCTGAACGGTGAGGAAAGAACGAGTGTGTCCAGAATGCTGTGCTGAGGGGAAGGAAGAGTTAAAATGATCCAATTTCCAGACTTGCCTTGCTTATTTAGAAAACAGGGGTTTTAGTTACAAGTTGTTATGGTTTCTACCTTTTGGAAGATGGTTGGGTTGGAAGGTGATTGGATTATGGGAGTGCTGATAGGAGGTGAGTCACTTGTTGGGGGTGGGGCCTGACCGGAAGCTCTATCTCCCCCTCCCTGGCTCCTCTTTGCTCATCTGCTTCCCTGTCACTCTAGTCAGCAGCTTTCCTCCGCTTGCCCCTCTGCCAGGCTATTTGTGTTTAAGCCTGTCAAACATGGACTCAGGCTTCTGAAAGTGTGAACCAAAATAAATCTCTCCTCCTTTAAGTTTTGGGTGTCAGATGTTTTGTCCCAGTGACAAGAAAGTAACTAAGACACAAGTATACAGTTTATCTTTGAATACTGCCCTCCCTATCTGTCAAAGATCCTCTACTTGGCCAAACTTTAGCTAAGCCCCTGAACCTTCCCCCTAGGCCTATGTGTACACTTTCTTGTCAAATCCAGTTTTAGCAAAGGGCACTGCTAAGTCATTTATTTAATCGTGAACCCTGTACCCCTAGATATCTGATCACCCTGCATATCAGATCAAGTTCCTCATCCTTCACCACCCTCCAGGGGATGTCTGACTACCCTGTCCTGTCTCCAGTAAAGATCTTGCCTGGTTGCTTTAGGCAGAACCCCCTTTTACTCCAGATACTTCCTCTCAATAATTTTCTGTCCACTAACACACACACCCCTCTGATCGTTGGCTATAAATTTCTTTCTCTTTTTTTTTTTGCCATAAATTTTTACTTACTTTTGTGGAATTAAGAGTTATTGTCAATTCTATAAGAAGAGCAAGTGAATTGCCCTACGTGTGCCACACACAACAGAAGCCCTTTTATTGTACTGAGGGTCGAGCCCAATCTCTCTACCCTAATGCAAATCCCTGGGCAGTGGGCCCCATACCTGTCGACTAAACAGCCTGCCTCCCGAGCTTTCCCAAGTTATCATGGGAGATGTTCTTCTTTAACACCTTCCCCACCTCCACACAGAGGCAGTCTCCTTCCAAAGGGACTTTCTGTAACTGAGAGATGCAGCTGTGCTGCTGTGTTCGGAATTAAGCTAGTTATGTATGTTGTCTCTGAAGAGTGACGCCTCCAGTTTGCTCAGCAGAGGGAATCTTCTCAGCTGCCCCTCCGGGGGCTGTTTGGGAAGAGTGGCTGAGCAGACAGAGGCAGTGAGGAGGGCTTCTCTCTTTAGTATACTTTGGCCGGTACACTTTTCTGCCCTTCATCCCCATTTCCAGTCTGCTCCAATCGGGACAAAAGATACGAGCGAAGTCCTGAGGGCTGCTCATGGCGCCACTCGCCCAACACCACACGCATGCGCGCACTCATCTATCTGCTTAGCTTGGGAACGCAGTTGGATGAATGTTGCCTCCCCCAACCCCCAAGAAAGCTACAAGTTCCAACAGCTCCCACTCTGGAACTCCAGGCCTTTGTAGAGAGCACCTGGGCTGCTGAGCAGAAGCAGTGTAAAACCGGTCCCACCAGTGCAGCAAGGAGCTGGATTGAAACTCCTCATAGTTTTTGCCAAGTGTGATGGACACAAACAGCCCAGTTTCCTTTAAGAAGGCACAGGAAAGGTCGATCCAGTCAAGCGGCAGAGGGAAGACGCCAACGAGAACCATTTCCATGTTGACAGGAGATAATATACTGGAGAGCGGCCAGGAAGGAGAGAGGAGAACACTGAGGCGGGGGAGGCGTCCAAGGACACAGGACATTTCAGCTGAGGTGAGGAGAATTTGCCAGAACCTTTGAAAAATGACTTATGTCTAGGGCCATATCGCCTGAAATGCACCTGATCCCGTCTGGAAAATGTTTTAGGTACCACAGAATGCCATTTAAGATCATCCTAAAACAACATTCAGGACCCCTCCCTCCTGTCTCTCAGGAGCTATTCCTTTTGCCTATTCCTATTCTCCAATAAATTTTCTTACTCTTAAAAAAATGATCATCCTAAAATTTAACAATTATGTAGTATTTAATAGGATAGTAAAAGTCTTAGATATTTAATATGTCTTGGAGATTAAGAAGAAACTTTTAGGAAAATTGTGATGACATCTTTCCCACAAATATTGAAATACCATGTTTATACATGTAACTATCTGAATTAAAACACAGTTATTCAGAAATTATAAACCAATGGCCTCTCTACTATGAAAAAAAGGATTGGACTGTGTGTGTGTGTGTGTGTGTGTGTGTGTGTGTGTGTGTATCAGGCTTTCAAGTTATGCTTATTTTTTCTATTTATTAAGTTTATTCACAATTATGAGGGAAGAAAGACTACTGGAACAAGTAGGAGACTGAAGAGATGGGAAGACATGTAAAAAGACAACTCAGACTTTGAGGAATGAATTGATTGATATTCAACAAAATTGAGTTTCTTTGTTTTTTCTTTTTTTGTACCGGGATCGAACTTGGGACCTTATGCTTGTGAAGCAGGCACCAGAACCACTGAGCTAAATCCCCAGCCCTGTATTCAACAAACTTAAAGAGAGGTTTAGGATGCCAAATCTAGAGGCCCAAAGTGCACATGCAGCTTCTCCCCAGAGAAGCAGCCCGGACTGCAATAGCAGCTGCACGGAACTCTGAATCACACGCCACTGTCCGTGAAAACACAGCTGCTATCAAACAAAACAAAACGATTTCACTGAACAGGTTAGTTCCACCTTCTTGTCCGATAGAAAGAAGAATTCAGGTACCGGACAAAGGATGTGATTTCCAGCGACAAACTGTCAGGCCTAATGTTAAACTGCCTCAAAATATACACAAGATCTCTAATGACCTCCGGTGGTTACAACTGAAATTGCTTGGTTTGTGACACCTGGTGGAGTCTGGTGCGCGAAGTGATTATGGATTTGGGCTTCAGTCATTTGTTTTCTTATCTTGAAAGCTGCAAGGTTGGAGTAAAAGAAACATAGCAAATGACTATCATAAAATGTCCCTGCCTCCTGACTTCTAGCCATTAACTGAAGAGCCTGCCTCTCTGTAAGATGTCTTTGCAGCCAGGAAGCTATCTGTCTCCCAGTGACTCCTCCAGGGAAAGTCAGTTAACATCTGTTTTGTGCCCATAGATACAAAAAGAGAAGGAGAAGGAGAAGGAGAGAAGAAATGGCTGATCAGAGAAGAAGGGCAGAAAGAATAGGATGGAGGTTGCAAACTAAAGCCAGTTGGATCACGCACACTATTCTCAGATCCTTTTTGATAGCTGCCTAGGAAATCCAAAGGTTAAGCCTCTCCATAGGGTCATTATAGTGAAATCAACTAACAGCAAATGATGTCCTAGGCGCTCACTAAACAAACATTAGTGAATAAGCCCAAACATCTTCCATGGAGTCCCTGCTCTCTGACCTCTGAGTGAGAGATTCATTTCATTGAGAAAGGACCAGAAGCAACATCCTGTTATTACTCTCATTGTTGGCCTCAGGCTACCAGAAACCCCCCAGGCTGCCCCATGGGTCCTTTATTTGGGGTAAAGGCCAGGAAACCACCCTTACTGCTACAGCCCCAGCTGGATTCTTCAGTCAAGTCCAGACATCCTGAAGGGGTCTCTGGAATATTTCAGTCAGTCCAGGCACCTTGAATACCCCTAATTTCACCAGAGTCTGTCACTTTTAGATGGCTAATTAACAAGCCACTGGTTGCTCTGATAATAACTGGTGTCTGGGCTGGGGATTTAGCTCAGTGGTTCTGCCACCTGCCTCGCAAGCTCAAGGACCTGAGTTCAATCCCCGGTATCAAATAACTGGTGTCTCATATTGGCTTTGCTGGTTAGCAGAGTATTTGATAATAACTGAGGCACTGTGACCTTTCCATTCTAGAGTGAGCTAAGGATTCCTAGAGTATTAATTCCTGATCAGAACACCAGGTACCCAGGTATGGTTCCAACAACAAATGTCACACGATCTATGCCGAAGTATTTTCAAGTGAATTACAGACACACCATGAGGGAAGGGGAAGAATAAGGACAGGGACCCACTGGTAGCCATTGGTAGCTGCTGTGTCCTGCCCATGTCCCTCCCTAGGAGTTGCTACTGTTGTCACTTCTCAGATATTTTTCAGATCCGTCCATTTAATAATAATTTACACAGTGTCTACTCCCATGCCAGATGTCCATTTGGAATATATCATCTGTCTGATTTCCAAGGGGAATTTAATAAACCAAGAGAATTTTAAAAATTCACTGGCTGAAGCCACAGAGAAGTTTCTGCAAACACATAAGAGGCTCACAGTGATATGAAGACGGTCACCGCCCCCCACCCCCACCCCAGGCTCCATTGCAGCCTCAAGGAGAAGCGAGGCAGCTAGAAAACTCTGGAGCAAATCTCACCCAATCTCATCACTTTTTCACTAATTTGGCATTGCATCCTGAGCCCCTGTTGTATACCACACAAAAGCTTCCTGTTATACATCATACTAATGCTTGAAATATATTGCTGAATCAAATTGCATAGTTCTTAAAAAAAAAGTCAGGCACTCGATGAGTCTACTTATAAACCTTAAATATCAGTTGCTTCATTTTTTTTCTAGGAAATAAAGAAAGGAAGGAAAGAGAGACCTTTAAAGGCTATATAAACATTTTACTACATTTTGTTTTCTTTAAGAATCAGTGGGAAAAAAAAGAATCAGTGATAATTACAAGAGGCTACATTTACCTTAATTGTGATTTAGAGCATTGTAGAAAAATTGTGAATAAGAATTGTTGGCGCTGCTTGTTAGTCCAGAGTTCAAACCAATGACTCACAAGGGCAACTCTTTCCTGAAAGAGCTGGAAATATGGGGAGATGATGTTTTGCAGTACAGTTCCACACATTCTCAGTTGCTAAGCAATCTTCAGACCATACACCAACAACCTGACAGTTAATATTTGCATAGTACGTTACAGTTCACAAAGCACTTTCACATACATTGTGGGGTCTCTCCTTTCACTTTAAACTGTTTGTATCCAGGGCTGCAGACAAGACGGGGCCTGTTGGGTGGGCTGGTGGGAAAGGCTGGCAGGGATGTAATTACAGAGGGGCCCAAGGAAGGCCTTGGAGGAAACAAAGAGGTAATCGTTCCTGGCTCTAGTTTCTACCTAGGCTAAGGTTGCCCAGGGGAACAGATTCCATACGTCTTGTACTGAAAACACATACAGCTATGCGCATTTAATTGTGGAACAGGACCATGTGAAGTAGGTCTGACTTTACTAACCCAGAGCCCCAGATCTTCATGACACCTACAAAACTGAGAGTTAATAATATTGCAAAATGCCAATGTTAGGTATGTCTCTAGGGAAGATAGACACCAGGGATCAGTGTCCCCTAAACCTGAGTTTCAGTCCATTCTATGCAGACAGATGTATACAAACTCACTCTTTCCTATAGGTCAGACTTTAGGTCTGACTTTTACTACTAGACTTTTACTATAGGTCTGGTCTTCTTCACTTGTGAAGGAAGCTAAAGTTGCCTGAGCTCTGGGAACCCACCTTGCTTTACATTAGGACCTGGCAGGGCTGCCCCATACCAACCAGTGGCTTCTTCCCGAACTACCTTTCAAGGGGAGCAGGCATCACCAGGCCACATGGAACCACACAGTGGACACCAGAGGGAAGAGGGGATTGAGGAAACACAGAGAAACTTTTGTGACGCGTGTTCCTCCCTTTCTCCCCCATTATAGCAATTGTGTGTCCCGGACATCTCTGTTGTGTCCCCAAGATACAGACCGAGAGATAAGGCAGTGGAGTCTCTAGGAAGGTAGGAGCTAGGGGGTAGGGTGGGAAGAGACTGTTTTTGGTCAGACAAAGCTAGATTTATTTTTGTTTAAACTGACTCAAAAACTAGATTCTTTAGAGGATTTTTCTTTTAAAACAATATGACAACATGAGACTTAACATATCACAGTAAAATTAACTGTATGAATCAAGCTTGTTTTATTGCAGAGTATGTAACTCACCTGTCTGTTTAATGACTTGTTGCTAAAAGGTGTCCAGGTGCTGAACCTTGTGTGGAAGCTATCCATTTCCAGAGTTTCTTGTGAAGAATTCCCACCTGACATCTCAGCAAATTATTTTCTTCCACTTCTAGGAGATATGAGTTCATTTTAATAGACATATAATTAAGATCACTTAGAAACATTTAACATATTAATGTCTCTATAGGAATTACAGGATTACAGTAATTCATTTATGCATGCAATATAGATATGTTATATATAGAATTACAATATATGATGAACTATACAAATGTACACAAAAAGTCTATGAACTCCAATTCATTGCAGTTATTATTTATCCAACTTGATCCAAATCTGGATTAACAACAATTATTTTTTACTTGGCTGGGAAAGTGGAAAGTTAATCACCCTTTCAGGAGGTGCTATCAGTGACTCAGACAGTGGCATAACCCTGGCTTTGGTTTTTTGTTGTTGTGCTGGTGGTGGTGCTGGGCATCAAACCCAGGGCCATGCGTATTCTAGACAAACGCTCTACCACTGAGCTGTGTCCCCAGCCCATGACATGATTCTTCATCTGTCAAGAAAACTGACTTTTTCCCCCCCTGGGAAATAAGAATTTGAAGTGTTCAGACAGCACATTCTGCCTGCCCATCTTTTGAAGACAGAAGTCGAAGACAATATACAGGAAAAAATTGGGCTAATGTATTAGTTATCTATTGCTGCATAACTAATCACTTCAAAATTTAATAGCTCAAATCCAGTAAACATTATTATCTCAAAGTTTCTAAGGGTCAAGAATCCAGGCACAGCTCTGGGCGGGGCGGGGGGGGCTGTGTTTATTTTCTGGAACTGCCAAAACAAAATATCACAGACTGGGTGACTTTAACAACAGAAATTCATTTTCTCACAGTTCTGGAGGCTGAAAGTTCAAGGTCGAAGTTGTCATCCATGCTGCCGTGGTGGGGCTGCCTTCCTGGCCTGTGATGGCCACCTTCTTGCTGAGTCCTCACGTGGCCTTTTTTCTGTTTTTGGCATCTCTTCTTCTTGTTAGTGTAAGGATGTCAGCCCCGTCATATTGACCCTACCACTATGACCTCACTTAGCCTTTCTGACCTCTTTATAGGATCCATCTCCGCAAGAAACCACACTGAGAATTAGGACTCGAACATGGGAATTTGGCAGTGGTGGGGATACAGTGCAGTCCACAACAGGTGTTTCTGCACCAAGGTCTGTTGAAAGGCTACAGTCAAGGTGCTGGGAAGGACTGCAGTCTCATCAGAAGGCTTTGAAGGTCATTTGTGTGGCTGTCAGTGGGACTCAGCTTGGCATGAGCTGCTGGGCTGGAGGCCTCCCTTGCCACCTGCACTCCCTTGCAGCTCACACAGCAGCTGGCTTGCACCAGAGTGAGCAAGTGGAAGTAAGAGGGGCGCCTAGAGGGGAGCCACAGTCTCTTTGCAACCTCACCTCAGAAGCGACAGCCCCTCAATTTTGCTCCATTCTATTAGTTAAATACATTCCTGGGTTCTTTGGGCCACAAATTAAGGCAACTGAACAGGAGAAAAAGCGTATTAATCACATATGTGTGCACAGGAGTCCCTCAGAATATGAAACTTGAGAGATCAAATGAGTGAAGCTTATGTAGCATCCTGAACTACAGAAAGGAAGAGAGCCTGGGGTTTCTGGGAGGTGCTGGCTGCACAAGTTATAAGAGCATGAGGAAAGGAGAGTAAAGATTAAAATAATCTCTCAGGTAATAAAAGCTGTCTTGGATTGGTGGTCAGAAGACTAGGTGACTTGTCTGGACATAGTGTAAACCGTGGTGTAAACTTCCTGGTTGGTAAAGTTCCTGGGAACAACTCATGACAGCTGAGCTCCTGCTGGGTGGGGATTGTCTTCCGACAGGAAGGGAGGGCAGAGAAAGCCTCTGAACATTCCCTGTTCCCAGAGTCAGCGTGTCAAATGTTGTGTCTCATGTGGCCTTTCCTGAATGCCTTCAATTCACCCTTCCCGTCAGTCCCCTTCCTTTCCCATATGCAGAACACACTTTCCTGCTTCTAAAGGGAGAGGACCCAAAAGTTTCATCTCATAAATATCCTGAGCACAGAGCTCAGATGTGACTGGTTCATCACTGTCTACAGGTCCACACACAGCTCCTCCTGATCCAGAGACCTGTGCACTACAAAGACAGTCACCTGGCCTTTCCCCCTATACACAGCGTGTGTAAGGACAGAATGGGGAAAGGATAACTACAATAAGTAACCCTACTTTTAAAGAGGTAGATTATCAATTGTGAAGTCCTACTACAGAGGGTGAAAAACCTAATTATCATTTTCATTCTCAAAAAATCACCATGCTAGTGATTACTGCAGCAGTGCCATTTTATCATTAACACATCCCAAGTTATTTATTTGATTCTAAGCAGTGCTGTTTGCTACAACTGTATAGAGACATTTCCTCTCTCGCTCTAAAGTTAACTGCCGGTATTTTGAGCCTATCAGGCTTACGTAGGAAGAGCCAAATCCTAAATTTCCCTTCCCTGAGATATTATTTCCAACTGCGTGCTATTTTGTTCCATTCAGAAACAGATGCTGATGATGGTGTTTCAACCATACTCTTGACTTGGTCCTTACCACCAGGCACAGCATTTGTTGCTCAAAAGCCTTCTCCATTTGTTTCTTTACTAGTTGAAAATGTGAATCAGTTGTACCCTCTAACCTTGCAAGTCTCTGCGTTTTGGTTCTCTCTCTCTCTCTCTTTCTTGCTTTCCTTTCCCTTCCTGCTTGCAAATCAGACAAATATCTGAGATTATCTGAGGTCCTCTGTTTCTTGCAGTACCCTTGCAAGTGCAGTGAGCGCTAATGAACTCAGTCTAATAATACTCATTGTCGGGCTGGGGATTTAGCTCAGGGGTTTCACTGCCTGCTGCGCAAGCACAAGGACCCGAGTTCGAGGCCCAGTACCAAAAAATAATAATAATAATAATACTCGTTGTCTACCTCTTGGTATAAAGTACATGTTTGTGAGGTATATATTATGCCCTTTAGTCAAACCCAGACTACAGTTTTACAGTTTTTTTCCACTGCATAACATGAGCTGCCATCTTTTCAGGGCACCCAATAACAATTTTATGCTGTCGGACTGATGTTAATGCCACGAAATTTGGGATGTGTTGTTGTTATGGTAGCATCTTATTCCTGGAGCCAATTTCTGAATCTATTAAACATTTGGAAAGAAATAACACTAATCTCACTCAAAATCTTCCAGAGAATAAGGAAAATGGGAGTGATTCCCAATCGTAACTTTGATGCCAAACCCCAACAAGGACCTTACATGAAAGGATTATGTAAAGTTGATTACCACAGATAGAGATGCAAAAGTCCTGCCAAAATATTAGAACAGCAAACCCAGCAATATATAAAAAAGACAATAGGTCATCACCAAGTTGGATTAATTCTTGAAATGTAAACTTGACATTATGTTAAAAGCATTATGTGATATGTATTACATTATGTCATGTGTAACTTGAAATTACAAAAGCAATATACTTCTATCATTAACAATGGAGAGCCAAGCATGGTGGTGCATTCTTAAAACCCCAGCACTCAGATGGTGGAGGGAGGAGGATCACAAGTTTGGGCCTAGCCTGGGCTACGTAGTGAATTTAAGGCCAGCAGGAACTAGAGAGAGAGAGAGAGAGAGAGAGAGAGAGAGAGAGACAACAAACAAACAAAATAACCCGAGAAGAGAGAGAGATTTTATATAATAATTTCAGTAGAGGGCCGGGGATTTAGCTCAGTGGTTTTGCCGCCTGCTGCGCAAGCGCAAGGACCCAAGTTCAATCCCCTGTACCAAAAATAAATAAATATAAATATAAATATAAATATAAATAAATTAAAAAAATAATTTCAGTAGATACGAAAAGTATGTTTGCTAAGCTTCAGCAGTCATTCATGACAAGTTCTAGGACTGGAAAGGGACTTCCTAATCCAAACAAAGGCATATACAAGAAACCTGTAGCAACCACTGAACTGAATGGTAAAATGTTGAAACTTGGCCAGGGGGTGTAGCTCAGTGATAAAGCACTTGCCTGGTATATGCAAGGTCCTGGTTTTGATCCTCAGTACAAAAACAAACAAAAATATTAAAACTTTTCTGCATTTGCTACCACAACCCTTATTCAACATTGTTCTGGAGTTTCTTTCCAATGTGAAAAGACAATAAAATAAAATGTGTAGTAACTGAAAAGGAACAAATAAAATTGTTATTAATGACATAATTATATTTGGAAAATATTAAGGAATCCTCAAATTGCCATATTTAATAAATAAGTTTAGCAAGGTTGCTGCGCCCTAAGTCAACATGCAAAAATCAATTGTATTTCTATGTACTACAATAAACATGTATTAAAGAATAGTCTATTGCACTTGAGAGGCTGAGGCAGGAGGACCACCATGAATTCAAGGCCAGCCTGAGCTACATAGTGAGTTTAAGTCCAGCCCAAACTACCTACCTAGTGAGACCCTGTCTCAAAAGGAAAAAATAGAACAATCTATCATTTGTAATAGCATTTAAAAACCCAATAGAAATAAAAGAGGGACAAATATTGAATAGTAAAAAATGTATCAAGAGAAATTTTAAAACATCTAAATAAGTGTATATACCTGTGTAGATGTTAGTTCTCCCAAATTTATCAGAGTCAAAACCTAAAAGGTCCTCTGTGTGTGTGTGTGTGTGTGTGTGTGTGTTCAACAAGCTAGTTATAAAATGTGTATAGAAATACAAATATCAAGAATTTCAGGGCCAGGGATTTAGCTCAGTGGCACCTCACCTGCCTCACAAGCACAAGGTCCTGAGTTCAATCCCTGGTACCAAAAAAAGGAATATCAAAGACCATTTCAAAAAGAACGAAGTAGTAGGACCTACTCTACTTGATATTAGGACTTTTTATTATGAAGATCGTGTAAATAAGAGTGAGATATTGACACAAGAACAGACAAATCAATGAGACAAATAAACCAATAAAACAGATCAGTGAGGCCAGAAACAGACCCATAGACATATGGACACCAGAGTGACAGAGGTGGCCATCAGGGCAGTCAGCAGCACTGGAGCTGGACATCTCGCCCGTCAGCTCAGCCAACTCCCAAATCATAATAAATGATAACAAATGATCATTGTTTCAGGTCAAGACATTTGGAGTGGTTTGTTATTCAGCAACAACAAAAACAAACAAAAACTGGAAATAGGTTATCGCCATACTTTAAACTGATGGCACTGTCGCTGGGACTGAGAATCAAGTGGAAAGTGAAAGTGTGGTGATAATGTAGTGGCATCTGGAAGAGCAGTTAAGTTGCTGTGACGGGATAAGAAGAAAGGCGACCTGCTTTATGCAGCAGCAGAAAGCTGTCTGAACACAGATGATAGAAAATGTACCAATGAGGGCCGGGGATTTAGCTCAGTGGCACTGCACCCACCTGGTAAGCACAAAGTCCTGAGTTCGAGTCCCAGTACCAAAAAAAAGAAAATGTACGGATGAATGAGAGAGACTGCAATATTGACTATGCCCAAAGCAGGCTATAGGTAGTGCAGGCTGTAAAGAGTTAAAACCTCAAGTTGTTTATAGAAGCAAGTCTGGCCCAAGCGTGCCAAGGTCAGAGTAACTTGCCCCCAAATTCCATTCCCACAATTAAAACTTTCTTAACTAGAAGGACAATGTTCTAATTACAACCATATATTTTGTCTATTCTGCTAATTCAAGAATGCTTTGTCTTTTTCCTTTACAAGCTTTGTCTCCATTAGTTTCCATGGAAACTGCATGACTGTGCATCCTCACACTTGGTTCCGCCTCACACATAGCTCACCTTTAGGCCAACTGATTACTAATTAAAATCAGTGGCTGGGACTGGCCAGCACTTTTGTCGGTTGCACCAGCATTGGTCATCCTGGCTCCTGCTTTCTGTCTCTCTTAGTTCTTTCAGGTTTTTTTCCCTCAGGCTTTTATCATACACTGAGCGGGAGACTGGAGCCTACTGCAGAGGTTTCTGGTAACGCTTCCGGGGTTTCTAGTAAATTAATATATAGACGCAACTAGAGAGATTCCAGGCAGGGTATAGAAAATAGTGATTGGCTTCCTTTTCTCCACTATGATAAAGTCCAATAAAAGAGGCATGAACCAGCCTGAAAGATCTGTTTAGTTTGGAAGCAAAATTTAGTGGGAATAAAGAATACCTAGTACAGTCTCCAGAGAAGGTGAGTGTCTCCGTGTACTAAATGCTCTCAGAGCCTCATAGATCAAGTGAGAGGTGTGACTGTGAGACTCCTTGGTAAGGTCTTTGAAAGTTTTAAGAGGATGCTTCAGAGATGCTTTTGTTTAGAAAATAAAAGTTCCTAAGAATCTTAGCATCTTTGTTCTACCACACCCTGATGCACAGCCCAAGACTGAGAAGAGTCTCTGTCACAGAGATGTGTGGATTTAGCTTTTGTCTAATGGAATGCATTGCAATTAAATACTCACAGAGCCCACAGAATTGTCAAGAGGGTTGTTCTGGTGCATGCGTGATCAGCTTAAAATAAACAGAAAAGAAAGTTTGAAACAGTCTCTGCACTGGGTGTCTGGGGTGACAGATGTCACAGCGAGAAGAGCTGTCATCCAGTAGCCTCCTTTGGTGGACCTGATATAGATGACAAGAGACTTCAGCCAGATTCCACAACTGCATGAGACTGCGAGTGTCTTGGGGGCGGCAAATGCATCCATACTCTAAAGACACGTGAACTGTGGGTAGCGGGAGGAATGAGGTCTACGACCTGTACGGATGACCAAGAGTGATTGGCTGCTGCCATCCCCAGCCACGCACACCATTTCCCATCAGGAGGTGGAGCGTTCCTCTCCATCCACCGGAACCTGCCCTGTTTTAACCAATAGGATGTCATGGAAGAGAAGACAGGTGACTTCTGGCTATAGCTTGAAGACTTACAGCTTCCGGTTTTGCACTCTCGGAATCCAGCTGCCATGTGACTATGCTCGGGCTAGAATGCTGCATCGTGAGACAGCATGCAGAGAGACACAGGCTGAACTTCGCCCAGCTGTTCCAGCCATCCTGAAGCACCAGATGCATGAATGAAGTCATCCAAATGTCGGCGTTTCCACCAAGCTCCCAGGTGAATGCATATGTTGTAGCCACCCCAGCCTACAACACAGGAAGCAGAAGCACTGTCCAGCTGAAGCCAGCCAACTACAGACTTGTGGAAAATAAAGGATTCCTGTTTTCTGCTGCTAAATTTTGGGGATAGTTTGTTGGTATCCAGCACAGTCTGACAAAGCCATGTGTTGATGAGCATCAGAACTCAGATACACCTGGTCAAAGTGACACTTGGCAGAAGTACTTTGGAAGGCTGTTCAGTATTATTTCCTAAAGTTGAGCACATGCATATACTTGGCCCAAGAGAAAAACAGTACACATGTGGAGTCAAATGTATCAGCAAGAATATTCACAGCTATACTGCATAGTTTCAAAATGGAAACAATCTGGGCTGGAGATTTAGCTCAGTGGTTCTGATACCTGCCCCGTGAGGACAAGGACCTGAGTTTGATTCCTGGTACCAAACCAAACCAAACAAAACAAAATGGAAACAATCCTAGCATCCATCAACAGTTAAATGGAGCCAGCACTATGGGGCATGACTATAATCCCAGCTGCTTGGGAGGCTGAGACAGGATGATCTCAAGTTTGAGGCCATCCTAGGCAACCTGGTGAGACCCTACAGGTTCAAGTTCCTAATAGTGAATGTGATCATTATATATATCTAAAGTGTACCAATAAAGTTAATTAAAAACAAAAATAAAAAGGCTGGAGACTGGAGCTAAGTTGTACAGTGTCCTTGGGTTCCGGAAGAAGAAGATGAAGAGGGAAGGGGAGGAGGAAGAGGAGAAAGGAGGTGAGGAAGAGCTGGAGGAGCAAGAGGAGGAAGAGAGAGAGAAATACAGAAAGTGGCTCGTTCTCACATTATGTATCTGTCTGTAAAATCAATTACACATGGTTGGTGAATGCCCAGAAGACAAAATTAAGCACAAAGGATGATGTCAGAAGGGAAGATTTTGACTCAGTCTAAGAGGGGAGAGAGAATCACTTTAGCAGCTCTAGCTGTCTCAGGAGAATATGTCCTTTACTGAAGATACTAAAACTCGAGTTAGGCCCCCGCTTGTGATATTCTAGCTAACGAGAATTTAGATGTTCCTAGTGACCTTCTGTTGCTGTAAATTCCAGGAAGAGAGGACAGTGCTTGGAATAGCTGAAGAAGCTATTGGGTCAGAATTCCAGAATCAGACATGTGCAGGGCCTCTGCTGCACTTCAGTGAGAGAGACAGAAACACATGTTCAGGGTGAACAAACAGCAAAGATGTGGCATATTTAGGATCGATTTTGGAAGTGTTATTCGAGGGCAGCATGACAGAATGACCACCAGTTTGAATCTTTCCTCCGACTTCCCAGAACTGGAGCTTTACTCGTGACTCGGTGTCCGTGCCTCAGTGTTCCCGTGTGTCAAAGAAGACAGCCATGTGTCCTGCCAAACCACAATACAATAATGTGCTGTCCAGATAAAACCCTCATGGCCATGCAGGGAATGACGTGCCTCCCTCTGAAGCAACACTGAATCAAAACAAATCCTTAGTTTCATAAGATACCCAGCTATTGTTAAGTGAAATCCCCCCAAGAGCCAACAGAAGGGATGTTTATTTAGCAAGTTCTCAAAATTGTTATTATCTGTGTTAAGGGATTGCTGACTTATGTAATGAGCTGAGTATGATGGAAAGAACAGTTGCTGACTCGGCTAATGAGCTGTGAGCCGAAGTCACTGTGAGTCAGGGGTGTGTTCATTTATATACACATATCTAACACTGTGTAACAGGTTGTTCCCAAAGTCAGCGGTTTGGGCCTGCTGCTGTCAGGCCATGGGTGTCTGCTGAGCTCCAAAGAGAAAGAGGTGGCCAGAGAATCGATTGCTACCTGCCCACCTGGGCTCAGAGGGCCAGCGGCAGCCCCTGAGATCCCGCTGCTCCCAATGTTGTCAAGCAGATGAAGATCAAGACAGCAGGGCCTTTGACCCGGAGGCTTGCAAGGAGTAGAAGCCCCTCTTCATCCACAATGCCATCGACTTGCTGACCACAGCATCTGGGCCCAGGCCACCCCTAACATCAGCTTCCACCACTCCTACTGTGCCTACCACGCAGAGACCCAGGTGCAGCCCACCCTGGCGCCCCAGTGCCTGCCTCAAGCTCTACAAGGATGACTGCATGTCTCGATGCCTGCCTGCACCTTTCTGCTTCTATCTGCAACAACATCTGGTTCACTAACTCCTCCTTCATCCTTTTCCTGAACAGGAGCACCTGCTGGCCCAGGGATCCAAGCGTCCCTCTCTGCATCTGCCTCCTGAGGACCAGGCCCACAGCACCGACGAGGAGCCCCAGCGGCAGTTCAAGGCCCTGAGCCGCTAGAGGACCAAGGAGAGCTACTCCCTCCTCTCCTGTGCCACCCACACCCATGACACCTAGTTTGTCCTTAATGCAGTGACCAACGTCATTGGATGGAACAGTTCCAAGGACTTTGCTGAGGAGCCCGGCCCAGCCCGCTTGCCAGGAGTGAGACTCCTGCTAGAAAGGCCTAACCTGGGGCAGAAAATGCAGTGAGTATTCTCTTTACATGCAGAGTTTTCAAAACATTTTTTTTCAAGTGGTCCTTTTTGTGTCTGGCTTGCTGAGTGTACAAGTTGTTATCTGGGCGATTCTGCCCTCTGCTTCAAAGAGTTCTGGGGCAAACGGCCGTTCTGCACCAGCCTCACAGAACACATGTTGTACGTAAGCCTCTGCTATGTCCTATTGTTATTAGTGCAACCTTTGCTTTGTTTGTTGTTTGTTTGTTTGTGACAGGGTCTTGCTATGCAGTGCAGGCTGGCCTTGAACTCACTAGGTAGCCCAGGCTGGCCTCAAACTCACAGCCATCCTCCTGCTTCAGCCTCCCAGGAGCTGGGATTACAGGCATGAGCCACCAAGCCTGGCTTCTGCTTTGTTTTTAAGAAAAATAAATGTGATATATTTAAAGAAGATTCTTCACCTAGAAGCAAATGAACAATAGTTAAATGGCTTAGCATTTATAGTGTAAATTATCTGTGGCTTCAGCAAGTAATGGACGAGTAGGTGAGAGATGGTGCCCTCCACCCCCACCCCAGGTACCTGCAACCTCGAGCCTGAGATCGGCTTGGAGCTGCTATGACTCTTGGGAAGGCACAGCCCTCACTGTGGCCTGAGGAAGACCCTGCCGGGACCCTGCACTCTGGGCCTTCTCACCCCGGGGGCCCAAGGACACTGGCCATGAAAGGACCTTGGCCTGGGACTGTGTGTGAATATGAACTCCTGCTGCTGAGATGGGAGGCACCATGGGAGCCCTTGCCAAATCTCCTCTCTCACCCTTTGTTCAGTACCCAGAAGTCCAAGGTCAGTGAGAATCACAGCCAAGGACTTGAAGAGATGTACAGAGGAAAAGAGAGGAGTTGGTGACCGTACAAAAGTAAGATTGTCTACTTTAAGAAAATAAGGGGCTGGGGATTTAGCTTAGTGGTTTCGCCACCTGCTGAGCAAGTGCAAGGACCCGAGTTCGATCCCCAGTACCAAAAAAAAAAAAAAAGAAAGAAAAGAAAATACCCTGATTGGAGCAAAAACAAAAAGAAATCAGTGGTTTAAAATGACAAACATTGATAACCTCACAGTTCCTATGAGTTGGGAGGGTAGGCCAGGTTAGCTGGGCCCTCTAGCTCAGAGTCCTTCACAGTTCATGAGCCAGCTGGGGCTGTACTCACCTCAAAGTGGACTCTCTTCCAGGCTCATTTAAGAGATTATTGGCAGGATCCAGTTTCTCCCAGACTGCTGGAACATGGGCCTCAGTTTCTTGCTGGCTGTTGGCCAGAGCTTCCATGTTGGATTCTCCATAGTTTACCTCATAAAATGGCAGCTCACTTCCTCTCAAGTGAATAAGCAAAAGAGCAAGAGAAGCAGGCAAGATGGAAGCCAGAGTAACATAATCTCAGAAGTGAATTACCACCACTTTTTGATTAGTCAGAACAGAGGTCAGCAAACACAGTTAACAGGCCATATCTGGCCTGCCACTTGATTTATAAATAAAGTATCACTGGAACACACAGTGATAAAGTTTACATGCATTATCTATGACTGCTTTTATACTACTATAACAAAACTAAAGAATGGGAAAAAAGACCATATGGCTCACAAAGCCAAATACAGTATATTTATTATCTGAACCCTTACAGCCACGACAGTGCAATTAAAGATACTCATCAAAGAGGACTTCAAGAACTGCTTCAGAAAAGTGGCAAGAATGATGGGATAAGTGTGCTCAAAGAGAACATCTATATATACATGTGTGTGTGTGCTCAAAGCAAACATAATATATAAATTATATAAATAATTATATATAAAATATAGAAACTAATATATATATTAGTACTATCCAGGGTTCCTGATATAGAGTGTTGAAAACCATTCTTTATAGTTTTGGGGAAAAATCATTTCATAATTAAATTATGATGAGGACTGTCTAAGGCCCAATGTCTTCTTGCCAGAGAGCTGGCTATGGCATGCAGAAACATAATTCCATTTTGCCTCTGGTCATAATAACTCTCAAGTGTAAGATTACATCAGCTGAAGACATCCTGGTTCTTTGAGAACTGAGCAGTAATAAAAAAAAGAGCAAGGTTTCACCTGGGGAAAGGACAGATTCCTTGTTAGCCTAGTATCTCATCATACCTACTATTGTAAGAATGCTTTGCCCATCTCACTGTCCTCATCAACATAAGACCCTCATCAGTATAAGATCCTCATGACCTAAGATCCTCATCAACGTGTGATTATCACCACCCTCTAAAGTCACATGATACTCCTTCTGATTATTGTGCACTCAATAAGCAGTGGCCAGCTCAGAGTGCCTTTGTCTTTGCCCACTCTGAAGCACTGACCTCCCAGCTGCCCATGTGTTTTGAAATTATGTCTCTATTGTCTTCCTTTCTTTAGCCCTCACTGCCCCCATTCTAGCCAGATTGGAGGAATGGTCGGCCTCTGACAATAGAGCTCCTAAAACTTGTGGATAGGATGCTAGGAGAATCTCTTGTTCTAATATTTGGTTTTTGACCCCTGCTCCCAACACAGAGCTCCTAAATCTCTTGGAATTTCCTGGGTGACGGGAGCATCTTTTGTTCTAGTGAGGTGGTTCTTGGTGGGCTCCTAAATAGCTTTAGGATATGGCCTGGTTGCCAGGGGAACCAACTCATTTAGCTTCACATCCTGATCTCCAGGGAAAGAAGGGGGACTGAAGGTTGAATTGATCGTCAGTGGTCAGAGATGTAGTCAGCCATGTCTCTAGAATGAATCTTCATAGAAACCCAAAAAGTTGGGGTTCTGAGGGCTTCAGATACATGGAGGTGTCTGGAGAGAGCTCCATGCCCCTTCCCCTATACTCTGCATCTCTTGCATGCAGCTATTCTCCTGTATCCTTGGTTGTATCATTCATAATAAACAGGTAAATGTATGTTTCTCCAGACTTCTGTAAGCTGTTCCAGTGAATAAATCAAATCTGAGAAGGCAGTCAGGGAAACCTGGTATAGCAGGCCAGTCAGAAGCATGGATCCCAACCTCACCCCTGTGGTTGGCATCTGCCAGTCTGGATCTTAGATGAAAGTCCGAGTGTTCAAGGCCTGGTCCCCAGGTTGGGGCTATTGTGGCAGAACCTCATGAGGTGCCTGTGGGCTGGTGGGAGCCTTTTAGGTTCCACGCCCTCAAAGAGGACTGTGAAACCCCACCCTGCTCCTCTGCCTTATTCAGTTTTTGCTTCCTGGGTGACCAGCTTTGCCCCACTGCACACTGCAGCCATGAGGGGCCACCTTGCTACAGACCCAAAGCGCAGGGCTGGCCAGTTATGGACTGGAACCTCCAAACTATGGGCCAAGGGAGCGCTCTTCTCCTTATGAGTTGACATCATGCATGTTTGTTATGACAGAAGACTGGGTAACGAAGTACCTGATGGAGTGGGGGCATCTTACAGAACTAGGCCTTCATGCTGCGGGACCTGACACCAACTCCAGGTTTCAGCATTGAATCAAATAACAAGACCCCAGGTGGGGGACGCTGGAGAATTGGTTGTTGGTGGGGAGAACCCAAGACATTTTGGTGACCAGAGATAAAGCATTGTGTTGAGTATGTGACAGTTGAGAGAAGAAAAGCTTTTTGTTTTTTTTTTTAAATTCACAATAACCAGACCCAGACTAAAGGATTAGCTGGCGAGGTAATAGACAGTGCATACATCACTGCTGGGATAAATCAGAAAAGCCATGTTGTCAGCAAACTATGTTTCCACAGGTGATCTGTCACACTGCTGGGGAAATGCAAATCAGGCTGCTGCTGCTCCCCTACTGTAACAAAGTAACTTAGAAAATTAAAAACAAAGCGATTGTTCCTTGGCACTTACCCTTGAGTATTTCTGCAATTCGTGTATTGTGTGCAAATTACTCAATGGTTCATTTACTACCTAAAATTTAATTCCTTAGAAATATGCCTCCCGACAGGTTATCTGGTTCTAAAAATTGCAGAAAAGAACTAGTGTACAAGAAAAGTGTGATCAGTGACAAAACAGATATGGACAACTCCAGTTACATGTCCTCCATTCAGGGCTGTGAAAACATAACCTATTCTGAACACAAGCCAGCGTGTATTTTATGAGGTAACAAGGAAATGGGGGGTGTAGGTCATGGCATGTTCTGAGGAAATCGGTGCAAAATGGGAAATTGGGCTGGTATTTTCACATGCTAGATGTGCTCACGGATTCATAGCTTTAATGCTACAACGTTAAAGCCCCAAACAAACAGGAAGCAGCTGCACTGTTCAAATTCATTCAGGAAAAGTAACCTGCTATGGTTGCTCTAAAAACGTCAAGCCCCCACCCTGCTTTCTCCCTCTGAAAGTACTGTTTTTAGAAAATGATCTCTGAGGTTCCTGAGGAGCACAGGAGGTCAGGTTCCTGCCACAGATGGGCTTGAACACAACTGCAGGGATCGCAGTGAACTTTAATACCAACGGCATGGGAGATTCTGTTCTGACACCCACAGCGACATTTATTAATAAGCACACAGGTACTTTTTTAAAGATTCTTAGCAATACCCATTTCACTATTGGTCCTATTTGGCAATCTGAGCATATAAACTTTCAGAGCTGTGATTCTAACCACAAACTGCACTCACTGCAGATACTTGGTGTTTCACCCTTTCTCTCCAGTAGGCGAGAGGAGAGAAGGTTTTGGGGAAAAAAAGTGTTTTCCAATGAGCCAAAGACGTCACTTCCGTTCTACCCACCTGGGTGCTGCGCAGGAGGTGAGACTCACACTGCCCTTGCCAAGGGCCTGCGAGGCCGGCGGCGCCCAAAAGCCCAGAGCTGCACCTCCGGGAGCGGCCAAGGGCCCGGCTCGGCGACGGTGTCCTCTCCAGTCCCTGTAGGGAGAGGCGAGAGGCCAGCCTGCAGCTGCGGCAGCGCGTGCCCTGGTGTCTCCATGGGGACCACAACACCTCGGGCCCACCCACTCCCCGAGGGCCCCGCCCCCTCCCCTGGTGACCTTGGCTCCAGGCTCAGGTGAGGCCCGCTGGGCTGAGTCCCGGCCCCTTCCCCGCCTCTGGGAGCGGGTGGCGGATCCCGCAGGTGCCCGCACCCCCGCGAGGCGAAGAGCAGGGCTCCCAGGCTTGAGCTGCGGCCGGAGGACACCGAGCCAGCCGCGGTCTGGTTTCCAAAAGCACCAGCTTTAAGGCTGCGTGGTGCGATAGGTACAGGTGCTTACTTTATTATGGAAATCTTGAGGAAATCTTAATTCTTATTATTGCCAGTTTTAGCAGAATACGGGAGGGTCAAAAACAAAAAATACCCTTCTGGGAGGCCGGGATTTAGCTCACTAGCACCGCGCCTGCCTCGCAAGCGCAAAGTCGTGAGTTCAGTCCCCGGTGCCAAAATCAATCAATCAATCAGTCAATCTTGGGGCTGGGGATTTAGCTGTGGTTTCGCCGCCTGCTGTGCAAGCGCAAAGACCCAAGTTCGATCCCCGGTACCAAAAAAAAAAAAAAAGGAAGAAAAAAAATCCTTCCTAAGTACATTCTAATGGTTCTGGTCAGAAAGACCTTAAGTTTTGTGAAGCCTTTTAAATTTCCCTTTTGTACCACACACAAACGCTAGGCATGGTGGTGCACACCTGTAATTCCAGCTCTTAGGGGGCTGAGGCAGGGGGATCACCGCGAATTCGAGGGGCAGCCTGAACTACTTATAAGACCCTATCTCAAAAAAAGGTTGCCAATTGTGTATCAAAAATACTGCAACTGGGCTGGGGATTTAGCTCAGTGGTTTCGTCACCTGCTGCGCAAAAAATGACCCGAGTTCGATCCCTGGTACCAAAAACAAAAAAAAATACTGCAACTGGGCCGAGGATTTAGCTCAGTAGTTCTGGTGCCTGCCTCACAAGTGCAGGGTCCCGAGTTCAATCCCCGGTACCAAAAAAAAAAAAAAAAAAACTGCAACTAATATACAATGAAATGCATGAAGACTTAGGACATAATATTAGTATTAATCAAAACTACCTGTAATTTTAAAAAAAGATCAACCTGCTGCTCTGTCACCAACCGGCCAGAAACACTATTGCGCTTTACACTATCTCAGGACCAATCCAAGAAAAACATGTCACATGGCAGTTTCCTTCTGCCCTGGCAGACTGTTTTTCCTTTTAAATCTCTAACCTCTCCTGGAAACGAAAGTCTCCTGTTACATATAATGCTCTGGTGACTTTCTAATCTTTAAAACGACCAGTTAGGGTTGGGGTTATAGCTCAGTGGTAGAGCACCTGCCTAGCATGCATGAGGCTCTGGATTTGATACCTAGCAGAAAGGAAGAAGAGAAGAGAGAAAGGAGGGGAGGGGAAGGGAGGAGAGGAGGAGGAGGGGAAACGAAGGAGGAAAAGGAGGAGGGAGGCAACCAATTAATAAATTAACCAACATTCTTTGAATTCAGAATGCCAAACATTACAATACCAAGATTTTTTTTTTTTTTTTGGTACCAGGGATCAAACTCGGGACCTTGCACTTGTGAGGCAGGCGGTGGCACCACTGACCTAAATATCCCCAGCCCAAGATTTTTTTTTTTTTTTCTATTCAGTGATTCCCTACCCTCCTGGTCCCAATTAGGTGCTTATTTCTGTAGCACTGAGGCCGAAGCAGGAGCATCTTCTTCAATATCCAGTTAACTGAGCCCCAAACAGATGAACACAATGTGGGGCATCTACTTAATGGAATATGGCCCGGCCAGACATATGCACAAGGGGGACAGGGAGCACTGGGAGGGGAAGGGAAATAAAGATGATTAAAATGCAATATGCTATGTACCAATTCCCCCAGACAACTGGACTTATGTATCACAAACATATGCTAATAAAAATAAAGAAGACATATGGTAAAAAAAAAACCAGTAGCAATTAACCACTTATTGTATGCTTCTTTTTATATAAAATACCTAGAAGAGAAAACCCACAGAAACAACTTTGAGCTGGGTGTGGTGACACACGCCCATAATCCCAGCACTGGAGAGGTTGAGACAGGAGAAGCCCAGAGTTCTTGGCCAGTAGGGGCTACACAGTGCGTTCAAGGACAGGCTGAACTATATACAAAGCGAGACCCTGTCTCAGGAGCAGAACTTTGATTAACGGTCACCGTGGACTGAGGGGGGGGGGGCGAGGGTGACTGTGACTGGGGCTCTATTTAGGGTGATGGAAACATTCTGGAATCAGATGAGAGGGACGGGGATGCAGGAGAGCACTTGCCCATGTGTGAAAGACCGCGGGTTTGAGTCCCAGAACCATCACCAAGAAAAAAGAGAAAGGATTAGTTCATGGTGAGGGATATACAACACTGTGTTATTTTTGAGGACACTGAACTGTAGACTTTTTTTTTCATTTTTCTTTTGGTTGCAGGGTCTCACCATGTAGCCCAGGCTGGCCTTGAACTTACGGCAGTCCTCCAGCCTCAGTTTCCCAAGTGCTGGGATTACAGGCATACACCACCATGCCAGGCTACAGATTTTTAAAAGGATACATTTTGTCATGTTATTGTAATAAAGTGTTTTCAAAAGACAATAATGCTAATGTTTGCTAAGTGTACTGCGATCAGCTACTGTGGTAACCATCTTACATGCACTTTGTCAATTACTTCTCATATAACCATTGGTTTTCAACCTCATTTTCTAGATTTAAAACAAAAATCAAAAATCAAGGGCCAGGGATTTAGCTCAGTGGTTCCTCCACCTGCCTTGCAAGTGCAAGGTCCTGAGTTCGATCCCCGGTACCAAAAAAAAAAAATCAAACTCAACCTGAATAAATGTACATGTACACAAAGCTCAGGGGCAGGATGGGGGTCCAAATCAAGGTCTAATTATAGGGGTGATCAATATATACTGTGAATGTTTAAATTCTAAGTATTTATCATAGTAAAAGACACGTTGCCATAACCCCCTCATAATACTTCCGCTCACTTTGAACACACTTATCCCATTGTTCTTGCCACTTTCAGAAGCAGTTCTGGAAGTTTCTTTGTGTCTTTATGAGGTGTGATTTTAAAAAGCACAGTGAATGCTGTCAAGTGCCATCCAAAGGAAAGGCAGGCTCGTAAAACTCCACGGTGCCTGCCTGCCTCGTCCACCTTATTCACCAGATCGGGCACTGTGCAACTTCTGGTTCTTCCCTCATGCCAAAATGACCATGAAAGGTAAGGTTTTGAGTCACTTCAGAACACTGGGGCAGCCATGACAACGCAGCTGAAGACATTCTGCAAAGAGGACCTCCACAGCTGCTTTAGAAAGTGCCAAAATGATGGGATGAGTGTGTTCAAAGCAAGGGGGTCCCAGGCAGTGTATCTTTAACTGTAATAAACATTTAAAAATGTAAACACTCCCTGTGTTTTTCAATCACATCTCATGCTCTCTCAGTAGTCTTTAAGCATGCGAAAGGTACAAACTTTGCAGGGAAGTTACCGGACTCACCTTCCATAAACACAGTGTATTTTGCAGAACTGAAGCCTTCAATTCCCAGGCTGAAGGCTCGACAGGCTTCCAAAGAGACAATAAAGACTGAATTTAAATCAATCACTTTATTAAAAATAGCAAATCTCACAAATACTCATTTAACATTTTGTTGTCACTGGCCACTGGAGTACACCCTTATATGTGCACTGATTGTCTAAGGTAAACAGAAGCTGGGCTGCCACAGAAGCTTGCGCTCCATCAACTTAGGGTCTTCACTAGGGAAGTGGCAGCTCAGGGAGGGCGCGGCCTGCAGCCCTGGCGAGCACTTTGAGCACAATGCACTTCAAGTAGAACCCATAAGGCAACAGCAGGAAGCGAGCAGCAGCCCCGCATGATATCTCCTGATGGACGAGTTCTCAGCCAGCCCTAGACCTGCACCAGCGGTGCACAACAGCAAGCGGACTTACTAAGAGCAGTGTGTGGAAACAATCGTTGCACTGGCACTTTAATTACTGTAATTCCTGTGGTGCGAGATGATTCGCTACTGGATTCAGCTGGAAAAGTAAAGAATGCAGCTTTGCTGCAAATCCCAGGAACGTGGACCGCATTTCAGTTCAGCTGGTTGAAGTGTTTGGAACATCTTGTGCATCTGCCAAGTGGAGTTTTTGTCTGAAGTCATCGGTTAAGAAAGTTTTCCTTTTATAGTGAGCACTTCTTTTAAATTTTGGGAAATTATACTCAGGAACTAAAAGGCAGAGGTATTTGAAAAAAGGGAATGAACGAAGGGAAATATGTTTTAAGGGAAAGCTGCTGTGTCATTGAGACTTGGATGCAGTAGCACAATTTTTAAATATAGGGAACTATACTATGTCTAGAATTAGAAGATTTTTAAAAATCACTGACTTAAGACTGTTCCAGCCACACATATGGCTCATGCTTATAATTGGAGCACTCTGGGAGGCTGAAGCAGGAAGGGTGCAAGTTAAGGCCCAGCTTGGGCAACTCTGCAACTTAGCAAGAACCTCTTTCAAAATCAATCAATCAATCAATCAATCAACAACAATAAAAAAGGGCTGGGGATGTAGCTTAGTGCAAAGGCCCTGAGTTCAATCCCCAGTAATGTGTACACACATGCACGCGCGCGCGCACACACACACACACACACACACACACAGACTAGAAATGGGGTGGAATTCCTGCATGTTATTCTCTTCCTTTCTCATTATCACCTTTCACTTTCCTCTTTAACATACACATTGATCCAGGCATTGCCTATTTTTCAAGTTCAAACCGTGATATGGACACAGTGAGACCAGTTAAATGCTAAAAATACATGCATGGTAGAGGCTGCAAAAATATGCACATATGAGCACAGCCATCAAAGGCATTCTCGTTCAAAAGGAAGGATAAGATTAACACATGTAAAAGTCAACAAAGTAAGGCAGACTGGTAGTTACATAGCCTGGATCTTGAATGTGCTAAAGACCCACCTGGACACCAGCCTGCAGCACTCTCAGCAGGTGGTAGAACCTTTAAGGTAGGGGGTGCACAGCTGTAGTCCCAGCTACTCAGAAGGATGAGGCAGGAGGTCTGCTTGAGGCCGGGAGTTCTAGCCTAGCATGGGCAACACAGTGAGACTTTGTCTTAACAAAAAACAAAAAAACAGAGGTGAGTATTGGTGACAGGAAGGTAGGTGACTGGGGCAGGCCCATGAAGGAGTACTGAGACCCTATCCCCTTCCTGTTTCTTGACTTCTGGCCAGGAGGTGAGTGGTTTCCTTGCCACCTCTTCCCCATGATACACTGCACCACCCAGGGCTTAAATCAACAGGGCTTAACCCATCATGGACTGAAGCCTCTGAAATTGTGAGCCAAAAGAAACCTTTCTTCCTTTTCATTTGATTTATCTCAGGTATTTTGTTACAGTAAAGGAAAGCTAACACAGCTGGCTAAAGGCACAAGCAAAATGTTTTAGGGAAGCATGAGTACAGTTTGATAAGGAGAAAGGGGAATCGAGAAAAATCCTAGGCAGGAAGCACAACCTTAACAGAGGCATCAAGATGAGAATGAGCATCATGAGTTTGTGGACAGCCAAAACATGAGCTTAATGGGAATGAGAGTAACAGGATGTACAGCGTGTGACCAAATTATTGAAAGATTTTAAAAGGTTCAACATGGCTTAAAAAATTAGCATGAAATAAAATGGCAAGAAAGTGCTATTTTAGGAAGATTAATTTAGTAGCACTGTCTAAAGTCTAAAGCAGCACTGTCTAATAGAAATGAAATGCAACCCACAGATATAATTTTTAAATTTTGGGTGGCCATATTAAAAGGAAAAAGAAGTGAAACCAATTTTATGTTCTTTGTGGGTTTTTTTTTCTCTCTCTCTCTCTTTTTGGTACCAGGGACTGAACTCAGGACCTTGTGCTGTTTGTTTTGTTTTGTTTTTGTGGTACCGGGGATCAAACTCAAGACCTTGCGCTTACCAGGCAGGCATGGCACCACTGAGCTACATCCCTGGCCCTTGTTTTGGTTTTTGAGACAGGATCTCGCTGTGTAGACCAGGCCAGTCTTGACCTCATTATGTAGTTCAAGCTGGCCTTGAACTTTCAGCCTCCTAAGTGCTGGAATTACAGGCGTGTGCCACCATGCCTGGTATGAAACCAATTTTAATAATACTTTTACATATTGTTTACCCTGATATATTTTAAAAAACAATTTCAACATGTAATCATTATAAAGATTGATATAGTTTTTCATATGAAGTCTTTGAAATCAGATGTGCTTATTATGCTTTAGCATATTTTAATTCAGCTTAGTCACATTTCATGTGCTCAGCAGCCATGCAGCTAGGAACTACCATACTGAACAGTGAAGCACTAGACTGGACAGAAAATTGAACAGTTATGCAATCAGCTGACAGGGGCTTGGGTTAGGATAAAGGATGAAAGAAGGATAAAAGCAGAACTGACAACACCTGACAACTGCAGTTAGGTGATGCCAAGTAGATTTCACACCCACGTCCGAGCTTAATAGCAGAGAGAGCACAACTGATTATCAGTGAGCTGTGGTTAGAGAAGGGATTTTAAAATATTCTTGGAGATTGAAATAACAAAGGCAGTGATGACAGAGAGGCCAATTAGGACGGGAAAGATTAAATACATAGAGGACATTTATTATAGACGAGGCAACAAAGCTGTCAGACTGTGCTCAAGCGTACACATCTGCTTGCCAAGATTTTAAACCAAGCATGCAAAAGCTTACACTCTGTACCATCCCATGCCTCCCTGTGTGTGGTGGATAAATTCCACCACGTTAAATTAAGGTAAGTGGTGCGGTAAGTCTAAATGTTTATCAAAAACTCATGTAAGAGGATAGGAGATGCTTAGGTGTCATAAGCATACCATGAATATAAAGCACAGAAGGAATATAATGAAGAGTAAAGAACCAAGAACTACTTCCATGAAAAGTTCCTATTCAACTCAAAATTTGCCCCCTTCTTTAAGTGTTTTTTTTTGGTACCAGGGATTGAACTCAGGACCTTACATTTGCAAGGCAGGCACAGTGGCACTGAGCTATATCCCCAGCCTCTAAGTTTTTCTTGTAAGGATTCCTTACATTAATTTCTCCCCACAGTTAATGTAGCTTCTCAAAATCTATTTTCCTCATCTGCAAAATGGGGAGTGTTATGGCTTGTCTAGATGGCCCCCCCTCATGCAGTCATAGGTAGGGCTTTTTCAGAGGTGTCTGGATCTAGAGTGAGTGACACCAGAACAGATTCATGGTGTAATGCTAGGATCACGGGCACTAAGATTAAGGGTGTGAGTGCTACTGCCCTAAGCAGCTTGGATAAGATACAAGGGATAGAAAGAGCTGTGGTCCTCCCATGCTTGTTTTGCTACCTTTTGGCCACCATGATCTGTTTCTCCTCTGCAATGCCTGTCAGCATGCCACCCTGCCTTGGGGCCAGCCCATTATGGACTGAAACCTCTACAAAATATGAGCTAAACAAACCTTTCCTCCTTTAACTTTGGGTGCTGGGTGTTTTGTCTCAGCAATGAGAAAAGTAACTAAGACAGGGAATAAACACCACCTACTCTCAGATAGGACCAAATGAGATAATATGTATAAAGCCCTTCATAAAATACTTGTTGAATAGTGAGTGTTATGGTTTATATCTACATGTCTCCCCAAAGTCCCATGTGGTCATAGGTGGGAGTTTCGGAGGTAGCTGGATTAGGGTGTGTGAATGTGGGTTAAGGATGTGATGCTGGGATTGAGTGTGTATAATGGGGGTCAGGGACTTAGCTCAGTGGCACAGCTACCAAAAAAAAAAAAGAAAGAAAAAAAAAAAAGAGTATATATAATGGCAGCTCCACCCTGGGAATGGGCAGCATCAATCAGAAGGCTTATAGCCTGGATGGACTATAAGGGGAAAAGAAGAAAGGCAGGCTCACTGCTTGCTACTTCGTTGTCTCCTGCCTGCTCTGCCATGGACTGTTTCTTCTCTGTGATGGCCCTCTGCCATGTCACCTGTATTGGACCCAGCCAACTATGGACTGAAGACTCTACAAACTGTGAGTTGAAATAAACCTTCCCTCCTTTAACTTTGAGTGTTAGGTATTTTGTCCCAGCAACAAGAAAATTAAGACACTGAGTTTTCATAAAGGCTAGCTAATTACTATTAAGGCTAATTACTATTACTGGAATACTTCTCAACTTCTTTTCTTTTTTTTTTTGGTACCAGGGATCAAACTCAGGTCCTTGAGCTTGCAAGGCAGATGGCGTTAACCACTGAGCTAAATCCCCAGCCCAACTTCCCAACTTCTTTCTTTCTCCCCCACCCCTTTCTCTGAGACAGGGTCTATGTTGCTCAAGCTGATCTTAAATTTATGATCTTCTTGCCTCGGTCCCCCAAGTACTGCAATTACAGGTGTGCACCACCATACCTTGCTACCTCCTTATTTTTGTTATTATTACACAATTGAGCAATTAATACCACAATATAATGTAATAGCAATAATAGTAACTTATACATATTCCATATAATTTGAAAAATTTCACAAACACATGTAGCAATTGCCCTGTATTACAGAGAATTCTCTGACATGTTAAACAATTTGCCCAGTGTTTCACTGTCAAAAACGTGGAACCAAATTTCAAAAATCAAATTTCTACTCTATAGCCAATATTCTTCCTATTTTATTATCTGGTTCAAAGGGGATATTTTATTTATTTTTGGAACTGGGAATTGAACTCAGGACGTTGCGCTTGCCAGGCAGGCACAGCACCACTGAGCTACATCCCCGGCCCCTAAAGGGGATATTTTGACCCCTAAATTAATTAATATTTTATAGCCAGGGTCATTTCCTGTTCTTATGTACCTAACAATGTACCTATCATTATGTTCAAGAGCACCTTTGGAAAAGTTCCTGAAATACTTGTTCTAGATTGAAATATCAAAACCAGAATATTCTGTATGTGCCTTGTTATTTCCCTTTATGCTAATTCTATAATAAACTTAGCATGCTTAATTTTGGAAATGTCATTTCATAAACTACGTGAGATCCCTTACAGGCTGAATTTTAGTGATACCTAATTTTCAATTTTATACACCTAAAATATTCCAAGTAATGATATTCAACTAAATATATTATTTCTGCATATCAAAATTCCAGTTAGCATCAGAATCTGAATTCAAAATAATTTCTATGGTAAATAACCTAATCTTCTTCAATCCCCGGTACAAAAAAAACCCCTAATTTTCAACTCTTATGACTTAAAAAATAATAATTAAATTTATTTTTAAAATTTGAAAATAATACAAAGCAAAGAAGACCCAAACAGAAACACAATTTTAGCACATAAAAGAATGAGAAAATTCCATTTGGAAATCATCATCTCTTGATGGTCCCAATAGATAATATTGTATGTCTACTCACAGTATCTAAATAAACATCTTTCCAAAATATGATGCGGATTATAAATTATAAACTTTTTGCTATTGATAAAAGGCAAAGGATACATAGAAGAGTTCAATTCTTCTAACTGTAACACAAAGAGACAAATTTAATTTAATTTTAATAAGATATATATAAGGTCATTGTTAATTATACATTTTAAAGTAGTAGTTCATTTAAGCATTCTTTAAATGAAGAAAAAAATTTTTTTGAGACAGGGTATTGCTATGCAGTTCAGGCTGGCCTTGAACTCACTATGTAGCCCACGTTGGCCTTGAACTCTCAGTGATCGTCCTGCCTCAGCCTCCCAAGTGCTGGGATTACAGGCATGCACCACCATGCCCAGCTTTTCTTTGGTTTTTTGAGACAGGGTCTCACTATGCAGTCCAGGTTGGCCTTGAACTCCCTATGTAGCCCAGGCTGGCCTCGAACTCATGGCGATCCTCTTGCCTCAGCCTTCTAAGTGCTGGGATTACAGGTGTGTGACACCAAGTTTGGTGAAAGAAAAAAAAATTTAAGAAAAAAATTTTCAAAACCTTCCCAGGTTGGGAAATTCCTTTTTGCAAAATAATTACAAAGCAATTTTAGTATTTATGGAACAAGAATATGAGGAGAAAATGAAAAAGATAAAAAGTAGAATTTTGTAAATATCCCTAAAACCATGCATAATTACAATAATCTCTAATAATAGTTTTAAAAGAAAAAATAGCCATTTTGATGATCACACAATTTTTTTGTTTTGTTTTTGTTTGGTTGGGTTTTTTTTGCAGTACCAGGGAATCGAACTCAGGTCCTTAAGCTTGGGAGGCAGGCACTGAGCTAAATCCCCACCCCAACGATGACAATATGTGAAAGCTTTAGGAATTACAAAAATATTTCACATGTCAATTCAGTTTCAGTACAAAGTGCCCTTGTCTTCTTCTGTTTGGACTGCTATAACAAAACCCCCCAACTATTGCAGTAGCTTAAAAATAACAGAAACTCATTTCTCACAGTTCTGGGAACTGGAAGCCCAAGATTAAGATGCCAGCAGATTTCAGGTTTGGAGATGGCCCACTTCCTGGTTCACATAATGGTGCCTTCTGGCTGTGTCCTCAGACATAGGATATAGGAAGCTGTTAGGGGTCTCTCCTGGGTTGCACTGAGCAGGGCTATGATCTCACTCTTGACTTAATTACCTCCCAAAGGCCGACCTCTTACTACCATTACCTTTGGGGTGAGGACTTCAACAGGGTCTCTGGGAGGACACAACATTCAGATCATAGTACCTCTCAATTTACAGAAGGAAAACACTGCATTATAAAAATGCTAACCAGCCTGGGCAATTTAGTGAGGCTTTGTCTCAAAATCAAAATTAAAAAAGGACTAGTGATGCAGCTCAGGGCAAAGACTCTGGGTTCAATCCTGAGTACTACAAAAATTTTTTAAAAACTTAACTAATTGTTCAGTGTTACACAGTATGTATAACCTAAAAACCCAAATGTAAGCTCTGGACTTAAAAAAAAAAAAGGCTTTCTGCTTTCAAATTCAGTGATCTTGCAACCATACCACAGTTGGTCTTCTAAATGTATAGGAAATGAGGCTTATATTTGTTATTGCTCGTTTTTGTTTTTTTTTTGTACCAGGGATCGAACTTGGAACCTTCCGCTTGCGAGGCAGGTGGTGGAACCACTGAGCTAAATCCCCAGCCTGAGGCTTATATTTGTTAAGGGGGATGTTAGACCATAAAAAGAAATAATTGTAAGACTAGACTAAATATGAAAGATTTAAAATAGAGTACAGGCTTGAAATGTTACAAGTATGAACATACAATTTCCCTCATGTTTACTTTTTCAAAAGACAAAAAAAACGCAACAGAAACTGACCCTTTCTTTCAGTCAGTGGTAAATATGAGATTTCAAATAAAGTGTGTTGAATTCAATTTTTATTTCTTTTTGATCCAAAAAAGATTTAAAGAGGGGCCAGGGATTTAGCTCAGTGGCACTGCATGGAGCCTGGCAAGCACAAGGTCCTGGGTTCAATTCCCAGTACCAAAAAAAAAATTTAAAGAGGCAAATTTAATTAACACTTCTGAGTCTAACAATTACACAAGGGTGTTGTGGGCTGAAGTGTGTGTGTGTGTCCCCGAATTCACAGGTTTTAGTCCTCACCCAGAGTAGCTCAGGGTGTGAGTGGCGCTGCAGACAGGCCCTTCAGAGAGGCGATTTGGCGAGACTGAGGTCATGGGGGTGGGCGCTGACTCTCTGTGAGCGGCACCCACCACGGAGACAAAGAGAGGAAACAAACACAGGTGAACATAAAGATGGCTACCCACAAACCAAGGACAGGACTCAGGAGAAACCAGCCCTGTGCACACCTTGACCTCCAACTTTCAGCCTCCAGAATTGGGAGAAAATAAATTTCTGTCTTGAGCCAGCCAATCCTTGACCTGGTTATGGCAGCTGTAGCAAACTAACACATACAGTGGCAACGCACCTAAGTGCAGAAATACCCAGCATAGTTCTGTGTTTAAAAATAAGTAACCTCCACCTGCGTACACAACACAAAGTGTATTAGTCATGTCAGGGAAAAAGGTCTTTGATTACCAGCTTCTGTATCTTAAGATTTGTAAACATATAAGACCCGTAATATCTGTATATATATATAATATGTAGCGAAGCAAATATTTCAAGAATTTCCAGTACTATTCTGAAAATATGTGCTTAGATTAGACATAAGTATGATAACCTCCTTGTATTTCTTTGAAAAAAAGAGTAGGTACCACATGGATATTCCTTGAAAACACTATGCTAAGTGAAAGAGAGCACTTCAGGCACTATCTTGTAACGGCACTGGTAGGAATGTCCCCAGTGAGGCAAATCTGTAAAGGCAGAGGGTACTCTGGGGGCCGCTAGGGGATGGGGAGGGGAGACTGAGAGCTACAAGCATCCTTCAAGGGTGATGGAAATGTTTCAGAATTGGACACTGGTGATATCTGTGCAACACTACGGACACTAAAAACCAAGGAGTTATATACTTCAAAAGAGTTTAAAAGTGATTTTGCTATTTATTTATATTGCAATAAAAAATTGGAAGAGTGGACGGACCACACTCACATCAGACAGCAGCCGGTCTAGATTGGCGTCACTCGCTGTCTTCCTCTTGTCCTCAGGAAGCTCCTCTAACTCCCCGTACAGCTCCAGATTCAAGCGGGCTAGTTTTTCCTGCATTCCCCGAACGTGTTCCATCTGTTCTATGGAACACTCATTTCCTGGGGAACAGTCAGAACTTTAATGAAGATTAACATTAAAGCTAACAGCCTCGAGGAACAGCTTTCAACCTCTAGGTCCTTCAAAAAAATGTTTTCTTTTGTAAATTGACTGTTAATAATTGTTTATCTTCTTTTTTCCCCAAATTTTAATTTTTATTAGTACATGTTTACAGTACATAATGATTGCATACCTTATGTGTACAACTGCAAATCCAATTTTTGACCAGTAAAGAATGGCCAAGCTAAGAAATAACTTTGGGTGCTTAAAAAAAAATCATATAAAAAGAGAAAATACATTGTCTTCAGTAGCAATATCATATCTAGAATAGCACCATCTGATTATGTCCTATTTGACAAATGGCATTTGAATTGAGTGACCCACTATTTTACAGTAAGCTGAATGAAATTGAGTCCTATAAGAACTTAAACTATAAAGTATTTTTCCAACCAATCATGTATTCTTTCTTTAGGAAATACAAATGAAAGTATTTATGAAGCATGAAGAATATTACAAAGCATGAGCAAGATAATGTATTGTCTTCAGCTGTATACACAGTACTACAAGACAACTTCATTCCTATAGGATAAGTTACATTATTTATTGACTACAGTCCTCTGCATTGACATTATTTTTCCTGAGCAATTAATTGAAATACATATGGCACAGTATATATTTTCATCTAGTTTAGGTATAGCTTCCACAACCTCTTGATGCCATAATTCTTTCAAAAACAACATCCTGGGGCTGGGGATTTAGCTCAGTGGTTCTGCCACCTGCCTTGCAAGCACAAGGTCCTGGGTTTGATCCCCAGTACCAAAAAAAAAAAAAAAACTACACACACAAAAAACTTCCTGTTTATCCTAAAGATACTACACAGGTATATTATAGCTCAGCTAAAGTTCAAATACATATCTTTAATCAATATGATTTAATGTATATTACACTACAGTTTCTTCTAATAAGCTTTATAACATCTTCATAACTATACTACATTATGTTAAGGACTACTAATATTGAGTTAAGTTATGGTTCTCTCAAAATCAGCCTTTATTCAGAATAAAATATATTACATTACTTATATTTTAACAATTAGTAAAATAACTTGGAGGATCAAGTAGAAGAAATACCTCAAGGTGTATGAGAGTGTGACTGTGTGTGTGTGTGTGTGTGTGCGCGCGCGCGCTTAGAGACAGAGAAAAATATATACAGAAAATATATAGAGAGAAATCACAAGGTAAAAGACCAAAGAGCAGGAGGATGGATCCAGGCAATCTAACACAAGAACAACAGAAGCTACACTAGGCTGAAGAGAAACAGATGGAATAGAAATGTTCTACAAGATGCAGAGGAATCAGCAAATAAGAAAGGCTCACTGGTTTCCAGGCAGGAAAAGACACAGTCCAAAGCATATCCTGGTAAATGCCTAAATTCTAAAGGTGAAAGAAAAAATTTTTTCATATCAAGACAGAAAAGAATTACTTAAATAGTAAGAAAGAATCCAAAAAGAATCTACTAGCAATTGAATTCTCCTAACAACACTTAGAGAAAACAGTTGAGTAATGAACATAGACAAGAACGAACTTAATCCAAAAGCACAGGTATAGAGGCAGAGGCAGAAGGGTGCCGGGAGGAAGCCAGGAAGTAAAGAAGATGACATCTCAGGGCCGGGGATTTATCTCAGTGGTTCTGCCATTTTCCTCGCAAGCACAAGGTCCCGAGTTTGATCTCCGGTACCAAAAAAAAAGAAGACGACATCTCAACTGTGGGAGGGAAGACGAGAAGCAAGTGAAAGTGTTCTTCAGAGTCCACATGGGTAGAGTCAAGCAAGGACGCCGAGTGTAATAAAACATTCTGTGAAATATGCAATGTGCTTTTAATGTCTTTTTTTTCTAAGTACTAGTATAAGACTGGAAATCTAGAAACCAGAAAGGAAAAGACAGCTATACAAAAGATGAGTATGCAAAAATTAAAGACTTTCAAAAGGTCAAGTATACCATAAAGCCCACAGACAAAATAAGTTTGGTAAAAATGGAGACATACTAGAGGTCAGAGGGTTAGTATCAAAAACATGTAAAAGGGTGCACACCTGTAATCCTAGCACTCTGCAAACTGAGCCAGAAGGGTAATTAAGTTCCAGTCCAGCTGGGCAATTTAGCAACTTAGTGAGACTCTGTGTCAAAATAAAAAATGTAAAAAGGGCTGGGTGTGTAGCTCAATGTGAAGGGCCTGGATTCAACACCCATTACCACAAAAAAACCCATAAACAAAAAATGCAAAACAAAATAAAAAAACAAAAAACACATCACACCAGTTCATAGCAACTGACAATAACAAAAGTAAACAAGTTAACAAAAATAACCAAAATGAAAAGTAGGAAAGGGTCCTGAAAAAAACAATCCAACTGCTTACCAAATACACATGAATATTCAAATTCAGTAGTAAATTTTTAAATCTTACTGTACTTCACATCAATGGATTGACAAAAACCTAAGTGACATTATAGCCACCGCTAGTGAGAATTCAGGGAAAAAGGTTTTTTTCATAAACTGTTAATAGAAATGAAAAATGTTAATTTTCTTTGGAAAGAAATCTGGACATTGGTTTTACAATTAAAATTACAGATATGCTTTAACTCAACAATCCCACTCATGGGAAGGCATTCAAAAAATAAAAGCATCAACATAAAAATACATGTAGGGCAGATGTGGTGGTGCACAGCTGCAGTCCCAGCACTCAGGAGGCTGAAGCAGGAAGATTGTGGTTAGGCTGAGGCCAGCCTGGAATACATATTGAGAATCTGTCTCAAAAAACCAAAATAAATAAATAAAAAGAATCCAGGTAGGGATGGTGATGTAGCTTAACAGTAGAACACTTGCCCAGCTTACACAGGGCCTTGGCTTCAATCTCCAGCACTGAAAAAAAGGAATATATATATAAAAACTGTTCACTGAACGAGTGAGGCACAGTGACACACACCTGTAATCCCTGTTCACTGTACGAGTGAGGCACAGTGGCACACACCTGTAATCCCAGCTACCTGGGACACTGATGTAGGAGGACTGACGTTCAAGCCAACCTTAGCAACACAGCAAGACCTGCCTCAAACAAAGCAAAACACGTTGGCCACATGGTTACATTTAGTGGCTCAAAGCTGCAAACGGTATCCTTTAATATGGGAATTCCTGAAATAAACTAGTATATTTACAACTAAGAACATTATGTATGTAGTCATGAAAAAGAATGAAATAGAGCTAGATCAGGTAACTTGCAGAGATTTCCACTAAATACTGTTTAATGAAGGGAAGGAAGCAAGATGCAGAACAACACAGATGAGGCCCCATCTGTGGCCGCTACCTTCGGTCGGCGGCCTGGAGCTGGAGACCCGGCAGAGGCGCTGTGGCAGCAGACCAGGGAGGAGGTCCCACTCAAGACCAGACAAAGGCCCGGGTGGTTCTCAAATATAGATGCGCTGATGGAAATTTGTGTATTAAAGTAACAGATGATTTAGTCTGACTGGTGTACAGAACTGATCAAGCTCAAGATGTAAAGAAGACCTAGAAGTTCCACGATCAGCTGATGCGACTTATGGTAGCCATGGAGTCCCACGGTGGTACCATGGAAACAGACTGAGTTGGAAAGGAAGATTCTGTTTGTCTTGTTTGTAGGAAGTAAATATCTTTTGAAATTGAAAAAGTATTGGAACAGGAAATACTTTCTCTAACTAAGTGGGCTATTCAAAAGACAAGGGATCATTTTTTGTATTTTCTTTTTAATGTTTATCTTAGAGTTGTAGGAATATAAAAGCTTTCAGTTAAGAGAACCATTATTTATTTTTTGGAAGTTGAACAAGAAATGCATCTATCTTAGAAACCTTTGGCAGAAACTATTTGATTTTGGGCAGAATGTATAATTATTTTTCTAGTAAATCTGTATCTGTAATTTTAAAATGAAATACCAAGAAAATCCAGTTCTTAAATTTAGTTGATCTGCCTTTAAGAGAGAATTAAATGTAACCACTTTGATGGATTGTTATATTGTTATATTTTTATTATTATATTATTTATTATTATATTTTTATATTGTTATATTTGCAAAGTATAAGCTTTGCACTGTTAATAACCAATAAATATATATAGTGACTGGAATTATATGTGCACAGTACTAACCTTTTGTTTTTAAATCAGAAAGTGTATCTAAACGGGGGGGGGGGGGGGTCACACACCTATAATCCCAGTCCTTGGGAGGCTGAGGCAGAATCGCTGCAAAGTTTGAGGCTAGCCTGGGCTACATAGTAAGTTCAAGGACAGCCTGAACTACACAGCAAGACCCTGTCTCAAAAGAAAAAAGAAAAGAAAGTGTATCTGATGTAAGCGAGTTAACCAGAAACCCACCCTATAGCCTTCACTTGAACTTTACCTTTTCCTCCCAGACTGCTTGTTCAAAGTGATAAGTTAACCAGCACCTACCTTACCTTGTGGTTAAGAACAAAGGATAGGACATGTTATACTGTGGCCCTAACCATAAAGACAGGAATTTTAATCTAACTTGCAATCTGCTTCTGTAGCCCTGTGCTTGCTCAAAGACGAGACCATGATGGACCACTGTGTGGTTTTTCCCTTTAAAAACTGGGCTTCCCTGCTTGATTGGTACCAAGGTAGATGGTAGTGGAAGCTCGTTCTTGGTCACTGGCTATTAAAAAGACTCCTTTAATTCGGACATTTTCGCGGTGTGATTTTTTTCCCTGAGACAGCTATAACATATCTAGTTGCTAGTAGTGTAGTCTCAGTTATGTCTGAAGTAGTTTCGAGTAACAGGTGTGCTTTACCTTAAGCTTTCCGGATTTAAACTATATTTTTCATTTGTAGTATCATTAGCTTATTGAGAGATGAGTGACTTTGAATCTGGCTCTTAGTGATGAAAAACAGCAGCAGTTATCTGAATGCATGGGCAGAATGATGATTGCTGTGTGGACCGGGCCACTGCGTGACAGGTATTTACTACATATTTTCCACCTGCAGTTTCTCAGGACTGCAGAGTATTCCAACTGTTAAGGCTTTGTACTCTATGGTACCCTGCCCATTTTTGCCTGTAACTAAGATGTTAAGTATGACTCTCACAACTACTGTATTTATCCTGTATCTGTAATTTGATTTTACTGTCCAAAGGTTATGTTCACCAGTGGATTCCTCAGAGTGAAATGCAGGCACTGCATTAAAAAAAATTTTTTTTATAGATTTGTCTCAGTGAATAATATTTTAGCATGGAAAGTTACATTAGCCATAAGAATTTTGACATGTTTCAGAGAGATAAACATATAAAATAGTACATAAATACAAAAAAAGTCCAGGGGCAACCCACTTTCTGGTCCCCCTTCTGTCTCTCTTAGACAGAAGCTATCTTTCTCTCAATAAAATTTTCTTACTCTTAACCTCCATTGTTCCTAGAATTCATTTTTTTATTTTAGAGAACACGAACTCACATTTCAGATATCCAGCAGGTTGGGAGTTACAGTATTTCACTTGTTTGGATTATTTTTGCTTATTTGGATTACTTGCTGCCCTATATCATTTTGGAGGCCTTCTCACCAAGACCACTGGATGGGGGCAGTTAGACAAAGCCTATCCCCCCAGGGATGGGGGGCAACATTGAGGACAATCAAGCCAACATGGAGGATAGTCAGGGAGCCAACTAGGAGGATGATCAAGATGCATTCACTGAAGGCCAACATTATAAAAGAAGAGAAACTACCACACCCACACAGCATGAACAGCAGTGACTGATATTCTAAATAGGTATCAATCACGTAGGTGGGGGACCAAGATCTTCCAAGAAAGATCCCTGACTCAACCTTTAGCACTGAAAATCCTTGCTCATTCCTTGTAAGCTTGCTACATGACTTGCTTCCCATTTGATCCCCATTTAATCAATACTACCTAAGTAACTATGCTTGTAGTAATCTTATGGGTTGATCATATTTTTGTCCTACCTGGAACCAGCCTCACTTTGTGGCTTTGCCCCATAAAACACCTTTGAGAAGCAAGATTGGTGGGCAACCCACTTTCTGGTTCCCCTTCTGTCTCTCCTAGACAGAAGCTTTCTTTCTCTCAATAAATTTTCCCACTCTTAAAAAAAAGGTCCCATCTGTGTAAAATAATGAAGCCCAGGCCAGGGATTTAGCCCAGTGGTTTCACCGCATGCTGCGCAAGCGCAAGGACCCGAGTTCGATCCCTGGTACCAAAAAAAAAAAAAGAAAACCAAAAAAAAAAAATAATAATAATAAAGCCCAAATCTGTGTGTCTGTGCATGTGTGTAGGCGTGTTTGTGTGTGGGGGATGCGTGTTTGTGTTTACATCATGATGATCACACTGAGTGTTAGCATCGTTCACTGTGGGCTGAGCAGAGGTGGAAGCAGTAGACCAGGAAGCCAAGCAACAAAAATGCAGGGCAGGGAAAGACTAGGCTTCAATCAACTCATGCACAGGCAATGTGTGCCATTTATGCACTGGGGTAGGTCTCTCTGTGTGTTCTCAACTGATTTTAAATAATAGCGGAAAATAATTTTATCATTAGAGAAGGGTTATAAAGAATGTTGCAGGGCTGGGGATTCAGCTCAGTGGCTCTGCCGCTTGCCTCACAAGTGCAAGGACCTGAGTTTGATCCGGTACCAAAAAGAAAAGAATGTTGCAAACTAAAAAATTAAAAATCTATAACCATATTCTTTGTGAAGTCTATGAACAATAAAAATAGCTACTCAGAGTTTTTATGTAACAACCAGGTAACTATTCTTATATCTTCATTAAAAAAAGAAAACAAGATTTTTTTCAATATTTGAAAGTCAAGCACCCTGGACAAAAAACACATGAGTTTAAAAGGGTTAAATGAAAATGATATTGAGATTTAAAAAAAAAAAAACAACCAACACACTAAGTCTAAAATATTTTAACTGATGAAGACTATCCCTTTTCTTTTCTTTTTTTCTTTTTTTTGAGACACTCCTACCAAACATGAAGAAGGTTTTTTTTCCCCCACAGCCCACCAGCATTTGTTACTGGTTGATAGCATTCTGTCTACAGAGAGATGGAATCTCTTTGTTTTAATTTGCATTTCTCAAGTGGCCAGTGATGTTGAACATTTTTTTCTTTTTGAGACAAAGTCTCACTATGTAGTCCAGGCTCGCCTTGAACTCGCTATGTAGCCCAGTCTGACCTCAAATGATCCTCCTGCCTCAGCCCTGAGTAGCTGGTACAACAGTATATAGGCATATGCCATTGCGCCCAAGCCACCTTCCCTTTTTAAAGAGCTTTTTCCAGCTGGGTGTGGTAGTGATGCCTGAAATCCCAGCACTCAGGAGGCTGAGGCAGGAGGGCTGCCATGAGTTAGAGGTCAGCCTGGGCTACATTCTGAGTTCAGGGCCAGCCTGAACTACACAATGAGACTACACAGTAAGACCCTGTCTCAAAAACAAAACAAAAAAACTTTTCCCAGAAGTTTTGGAAGGCAAAAAAATCATCTTCCATGACATATTTAGTATGGTTGCAATTTCTGCCTATGGTCTCTCTCTTTTTTAATAGAAGAAAATGATAAATTAAAGAGGAACAGCAGCTACAGGTGGTGCACACCTGTAATCTTAGCACTCAGGAGGCTGAGGCAGGAAGATCATGGGTGTGAGACTAGCCTGAACTACATGGTGAGAACCCATCCCCCCAAAAACCAAAAAAAAACACAGTAAAGAGAAACATTCAGTGCTTACCAAAGGCTTGAAGCTTTCCTGAGTGGAAATCATTCAAAAGACTGAGGAGCCCTCGCTCCATCTCCTGCACATCTGAGACATCGGTGAGGAAGGAGTGTTGGATCGGCGTCGACTGAGCTCCCTTCCCTTCTCCAGCCTGAGGTTTGGTCTTCTCTTTCGTCACTCTGCAAGGATGAAACAATGAACTTTAGTTAGCGCTCTTGCTATTCTAGATTAAGGCTTTAATTTTTTAGTGAATTAACTAGAGCTTCCCTTAAGAACAAGAAATTTTTAGGGCCGGGAATTTAGCTCAGTGGTTCTGACACCTGCCTCGAAAGCGCAAGGTCCCGAGTTCGATCCCTGGTACCAACCCCCCCCCCGAAAAAACAAAAAACAAGAAATTTTTAAAAATCAATACTAAATAAAATCAGTATCCTCAATCTAGAAACCAGAAAAATGAAAAAATGAAAAGAAGCCAGGCATGGTGCTGCACACCTGAAATCCCAGCACTAGGGAGGCTGAGGCAGGAGTGAGGCAGGAGATTAGCTGGCTGGGCAAGCGGGCAAGATTAGGTTGTGACCTGTCAATCATGGAGATCCAGGACACATGCGCCCAAGCTCTGCACCTGGGACCAATTAGAAAATGCTTTCAATTCTGATGTGAGATCAAGGTTTTTGATAGGAAGGCCCAGATCTGATGTCAGAATAGGGTATATAAAAGACGTCTCTATTAAGCTCATGGCACCAGAAGCTCTTTCAGTGGACCTCTCTTTGCTCTGCAGACCATACTTCTTTTCCTAACTTTAATAAACTTAAACCTTGCTACCTTTTTCACCTGTTTTGTTTAGGACTGCAAGAACCTGGAAAGAATCTCTGGAAACCACATCTTCCCAGAATCCGGGTAATATAGTTTTGGCAAAGCCACCAGGAGGTAACAGTGGTTTGGTTTTGCTTACGGGTGAGAAAAAATTAGTAGAAGGTGGGGAGTCTCTCAGTGGCGACCTGGTGTCTGGCTGCCCGCACCTTCACTTCCCACTGCATCCCTCTGGCTCCCTGGCCAAGGCCTGAAGTGTGTACAGGGCTCTCCCCTAGGGACACGGGCCAGAGGGTGCCATGGGACACTGCAGCGTCCTCTGTGGTCACATGGGCTGGGGGCTGCCAGAAAGCCTGTTCAGCTTTCTCACTCTTCTGGGACCCTGTTTTGAGTAGCCACCTACCCCAGCTGGCCCCTTTCTGTGCTCAGAGTCTCATCTATGCTTTTCCCCTACAAGGCCTCTCATCTCTTGTTACCCTTAGTGAGTCACTTTTTCAGGGTCCCACCCCAGTGCATGTGGTTCCACCATGTCTGTTAAATCTCTAAGCCTCTGCTTTCACTAACAAATGAGACGCCTTCCCTCTTCTCTTCTGAATCGGGTTAGGGTTAGATCTCGTCCCCATTTCTTCTAACAGAAATTCAAGTAATCTAGAAACATGTACCTCAGGATCTGAGGAGGACAAAGGAAATAGCCAGTAAAGGTCAAGTCAACAAAAGCAGAGCTAAAGTTAATAGATAACTGAGAACATCTTTTAGGAGTTTACTATTTCTCAAGTAGCTACTTGGAGCCGTCTTGGCGGGGCACCTTCTCTCTAAGGAGTCATAATGAGCTAGAGGGTATGGAGAATTCTGGGGGTGGAGGTTGGGGCACAAGACGGCCCTGGTGCCACTTCACCAGACACGTCTGCTAGTGGGGACTCCTTGGTGATTCAACAGGCCTGCACCCCTCTGCATGGGACGCCATCTGAAGGACCCAGACCTAATCCTCTCTCTCTCTCCGTAGGCCCCACAGAACACCATGCAGAACACAGAGACCTCTCCCTTAGGCTGTGTCCTTAAAAACAGAACAATTTGGGGCTGGGGATTTATAGCTCAGTGGTTTCACCGCCTGCTGTGCAAGCGCCAGGACCCAAGTTCAATCCCCGGTACCAAAAAAAAAAAAAAAAAAAGAACAATTTGACCCTGACAATTTGAAAAAGAACAATTTATTTCCTATTGTAATACTGTTTGGGTCCAGTATAAACTAGGAAACTGAAAAATGGGTACAGAATGGCAGTCTAAATTAGACTATTCTTCAGTTAGGTCTTTTTTGCAAAAGGCAAAAGGTGTGAAATCCCTTATGTTGAGGCTTTTATGACTCTTATCTCGGTAAATGCCCAAGAACTACAGTAAAGAGGTTGACCCTGTCCTCAGATGCCCACCTGTCTCTCAGAGGGATGTGGGTCTCTCCCACCTGTTTAATGAAAACAACCACACTCAGTGGTCTCCTTGATCTCTTTATAATCCTCAAGCCAGTAAATGAGTCCTATCATCAAATGACTCAGGAACTCCACCAGAGACTAGCTCACCAGAGAAACCCCGTATTCCCCAGCCCCTTCCTTGGCTCCTCAGGCAGCGTTTAGCCCCACAGGACAAACTTGGAGCAGAGTTTCTTACTCTTCCAACTCACAGCTAGCTCATCCTGCTCCTAAGAGAGGCACCAGGAGTAGAAGGGACTATTGGAGTCCAGGTTCCCTTTTTCAGTAGCAGATACCCAGCAATGGAAAGGGTTAGGCTGATTTTCAGAAGATCCAGTAGCTCTGCAGATGGGTTCTGACACTGACCCTTGCTTTTGACCTATCATGGCAAGACATCCAATTTGCCTTGGCCACTTGCTGAGCCCCAGGCCCCTATGAACCAACTGCACTACACCACCCTTTCTGTGTTCAACAACTGGGATCCAGATGAGGATGAAAGACAGGCCCCAAAAAAGGCCAAAATTATGGCGGTCACAATTGGCAATGCTTTGAGCACACCAAAGTCATCCAAGGGAAAATCCAAGGCCAATCAGGGAAAGAGTTCCTACTTTAAATACAAGGAAACTGGACACTGGGCATGTGACCGTACCAAACCACCACCTAGGCCCTGCTGTGTGTGTCAGACAGCCCACGGGAGGACTGACCAGCCCTGTTCCCAGAGAGGGGCCAGGCCAGCCAGAACCCTCACTTCCTGCTCTGATGAGGACTGCAGGGCCCGGCGCTAACTGCAGGGCCCCTGCCCTGGACCTGCCCATCTCCGGTGAGGATCCCCAGGTGACCCTGAATGTAATGGGCAAGCAATTTTAGTTCCTTATAGACACAAAAGTGGCTATCTTTCAACTTCCTTCTCTGGAAAACCCTCCTCTACTTCTATAGCCATAACTGGGGCTGAAAAGAGCCCTAGTTCTAACACGTGAATTAGAAGGTCACATATTCAACTGAGAATTTTTTTGGTTTGTTTTTTGTTTTTGGTACCAGGGATCGAACTCAGGACCTTGCGCTTTCAAAGCAGGCACGGCACCACTGAGCTAAATCCCTGGCCCTTCAAATATGTGTTTTTAATTGTCCAAATATCTTACTCCCTTACGAGAAAAACTGGGGGAATCCTCAAATTCCAGCAAAGGCCAAAGCAGATTTCACCTTTAGGGACTGTCAGGCCTCTGTGACCTACAGGTAGATCCTGCTGCGTGGTCTAATGGAATACCTGGGAGGGCAAATTCAGCAATGCCAGTAATGATAAAACTAAAAGATCCCAGCCAATTTCCCAAACGAAAGCAGTATCAAAGAAGAGGACTGTAAGGCCTCCAGCCTCTCATAGACAGGTTCAGGCACAGCCTTCTGTGGCCTTGCCAGTCCCCTTGCAATACTCCCCTCTCCCTGTAGTAAAGCCTTCAGGAGACACAGGAAGGTGTGAGACTCCGCCTCATTAACAATGCTGTAATCCCAACTCACACCCCGGTGGATAAAGCACAAGCAGGAAATTCTACAGCTCCTGGAGGCAGCCTAACTTCCCAGGCAGGTCGCTGTCATTGACTGCAAGGGACAGCAGAGACATGTCTAAAGTCTCTTTGGGAAATCAAAAGGCTGACAGAGGCAAGAAGGGCAGCCATACAGCCCACAAGACCCTGGCCTTATTCCTAGTTCCTGAGGGATCACTAAAAGCAGTCCATACCCCCAGGAAGATAAATGGGCCTTAGCACCAGAGGAATTAAAAGGGGACTTCGGTGATCTTTAAAAAACAACCTGGTCCTTCCTCAAGGGACACAGTGGAAAACTATAAAATCTCTCATGATTCTTTCCTTATGGGAAGAGATGCTACATGGAAATAGTCACTCGAATTTTCACGGGGTAAGACTAGTGGTAGCACCTGACAGGTCTGCAAGCCCAGACCAGCTCTGTTGTTAGTACAGAGGACTGGGGCACACGTGGGAGGACTGGTAATCAGACTTTCCCCACATGCCACCATGTGGGGATTTAAACAAAAATTGATTAATGTGGACCAAGTACAACAGGCTATCCACTACATGGGAACAAAGTCCTGCCAGGTCCTGGTCCAGGGGGACCACCTAGTGTCCAGCCTGTAGGCCAAGTGCTCATTAAAGCTTGCCAATAAGGGACTCCTGCAGACCAGTTAAAACCAAAAATGAAGGGCTCCTTTTCAGCAACCCTTGCCACACCCATTGTGGTAAAGGTGGCAGAGACAGTGAGAGTCAAAGTCAGCCCCACCTGAATTGTCTGAGGAAAAACACCACCCAAAAGAAGAAAGGTACTTCTGTGCACCTCTGAAAGACCTAAGGCTCCTCTTCAAAAAACAAGACTCTAGCATGCTCCGGGCACAGATAAGGAGTCACTGATGACCCCTAATCCACCACAGATTAAACAGGTACCTGTACTGGGGCTCCTGTTTTTAATTAGATCGATGTGGGTAATCTTGCTAGGGCTGTGGGTCTCAGGTTCTTGGTAATTTATCTAATATCCCTGCTTGCCATATTTTCTCCTCCACAAGAAGCATGAAAATAAAACTTAATGTTCCTGATTGCTGGATTTGTCATAGTCTCCTTTTTAGACAGATCAGGACATATTCTGACCTGCTCCTGCTCACATCTGGGCTCTGCATCCCCAACCTAATAGTAAAGTTTATCCATTTGAGGCTTCCAACAGTGCTCCAAGTACAGCCCATGACGCTCCTGACAAATTCACCAAGCTCGGCTGGGGATTTAGCTCAGTGGTTCCGCCGCCTGCCTCGCAAACACAAGGTCCTGAGTTCGATCCCCAGTACCAAAAAAAAAAAAAAAAAAAAGAATTAGGGGTTTTATGTCTCAGGCAGAAATGAAGCAGATTAGGGTGTGGTCAGTCGGCTACGCCAGTGGGCAACATTAGGGTGTGACCTGTCGATCATGGACAGCCAGGGCACATGCTCCCAAGCCCCGAACCTAAGACCAATTAGAAAGTGCTACCTTCAATTTTTCCGGCATGAGATCAAGCAGGTTTTTGATAGGACAACCTAGATCCGACATCAACATGGAGGTACAAAAGACAGCCCCCAATAAGCTCATGGCCACTGGAAGCTCTTTCGGTAGCCTTCTCTGAACTCTGTAGAGCATGCTTTTTTTTCTGCCTTTAATGAATGCAAAACCTTGCCATGTTCTTTTGCATGTTTTGTCCAATTCTTTGCTCAGGACATCAAGAACTTGTTAAGAATCTCTGGAAACCACGGCACCCCAGAACCCTGCTAACAGGAAGACACTGCAAGTTCCAGGCCAGCCTGGGCCACATAGTGAGTTGAACTACATAGCGAGACCCTGTCTCAAAGCAAAAAAGACATACACAAAGTTTGACTTATATATTTATACAATATGCTAAACCTTTGGACTGAGAAAAACTGAAAATGTTTGAGTCTTTTTATTATCTGTTCCATTGTCTCATTTCTTCCTCTTTTGAGGTTTATCCTGTTTGTTCTTTGAACTATAAGAGGTTTCCCCACACGAATATCGGGTTCTTATCCTGTAGCAGATATTATGACAGGGACACCCAGTGTAAGGAGAAAGGAAGCCATTTAAATTCATTACCATGTGACATAATGCCAGATACCTGTTAGCATCTGAGACTCATGTCATTTCCTAAGCCACATGCAGCCCAAACTTGTACTGATTACACCAGTAAATAAGTTCATCTCCCAGGTTCTCTCCTTTGCTACTGTCACAGAGCTAGCTCCTGACCTAAGGACTCCAACACCTTCCTGGCCACTCTCCCTCCCTCTGGGTATGGTCTCTCATGCCCCTTCCCTCCTCCAAGGCAGCCAAATCCATTTTGAAAAAATAAAATCAGATCATATAATAATTTACTTAATCTAAGCCCTTCACTAGCTTTGCACTGGCTGCCGGAGTGTCTGATATCCTTAAGCAATTCCATCTTCCCTTGTCTACCCTTTAACCATTCTCAATCTTCAGTTCATTTGAGGACCCCTCGGCTAATTAGTTCTTATTACACGACTGTCATATACCAGCTCTGACATATTGAGTGATGTGCTACACACATTACTATAGGAATGAGACACCAGTTCACACAGTTCAGGGCCAGCCAGGAAGGTGATGCACACCTGTAATTCCAGCTGCTCAGGAGACTGAGGCAGGATGACTTCAAATACAATGCCAGCCTGAGCCACTTATCCAGATCCTGTCTCAAAATTAAAAGGGCTGGGGGTACAGCTTGGTGTGACGCCCCAGGCTCACTCCCTAATACTGGGGAAAAAAGGCTTCAGAAGCAAGTACAAGTTAAACAGATAAAATGGGGTATCTTCATAACCCAACGCTTACTACAGATCTACACACACACCCACACACACACACGCACACTTCGATGCTCAATTCGTTTTTACATAATGTTGAATGGATACCTCTTCCCTACAAATGTGCTCACAGTAACAATAAGATAAAGAGTACATATATGACCAGGGAAAGGACAAGGCATAAGAAACTAATAACAAGAAATTTAGACAAATAAAAAATAAAGAAATTTAGAATTCATTGGCTGTTGACAGTAACAGTTCTTCACAAAATACTGTTTGCATTTTGTATATGTGGTGTTAAATCCCATCATCCAGTGCCTTAGTACTCAAGAGTGCTGACTGTGGAGGGGCTGTGGGGAAAAGGAGTCCTTCTCCACTGCTGGTGGGAGTGTAGACTGGTGCAACCACTGGGGAAATCAGTGTAGGGATTCCTTGAAGAACAAAACTGGAGGTTTCTTTTGACCCAGCTATTCCCCTTCTTGGTATCTTCCTGAAAGAATTAAAAGCATCATACTACAGCGATATATATGTGCACCCATGTTCATAGCAGCACAGTTTGTAATAGCTAAATCTTGGAAACAGCCAAATGTTTCCCATCAACTGATGAATGGATAAAGAAGATGTGGGTTGGGTTTTTTTTTGCTACCAGGCATTGAACTCAGGACCTTGTGTTTGCGAGGCAGGCGGTGGAACCACTGAGCTAAATTCCTGGCTGGGTTTTTTCAAATACAGTGAAGTACTACTCTGCCATAAAGAAGGATGAGCTTGAAATATTTCTAGCTAAATGGATGCACCATGTTTAAATACTGCATTGTTTCTCTGGTGCGAGAAACCAAAAGTGGAAATAAGGACTAAAATGTAAGAGGGACACTGGGAAATGGGAAGAAAATGTTCAAGTGAGAGGGGCACAACGGACGGTTAAGGGGGAAAGGAAAGAAGGGACAGGAAAAAAAGAGAAAATCAAAGAAAAAATGGAAACACAGCTTTTTTTCATAAGGAGGAAAGACTGGGGGGAAAAAGCAAGCAAGATAGACCACGTACTGGTACAAATTCCCTATGATGAATGTCATCATTATGTACAACTAAAATGTACCAATAAACATTTTGCTAAAAAAAAAAAAAAAACAGTAAAGGATCGGATTAAAACATCACAGTACATGAACAGAAAAAAGAGAGAGAGAGTGCTGACCATGACCCAGGAACATCAGCCTCACCCACAAGCTTCTGAAACAGAGGGCCAGATCCTAACCAGCAGACACTAGGGAGCCTCCGGGGAGCTTATCAGAATGGTTCAGATTCTGCATTCTAAAAAGATCCCCAAGAAATCCATACATTAACATCAGAGAAAAACCATTCCAGACTGTAGGGCTTCAATATAGCGAATATATTTTTCCTTTCAAATTTGGAAATTTTATCCAAGCAAGGGTTTTATATCCATTATGGTTTAATAACCCTCAAAAAAAAAAAAGAAAGATAAAATCCTGTTTATTTCTTCTTCACCACTTCTGATTATGTCATTATCTCACTTCATGTTAAAAGAACTTAATAACAAAAAACACACACACGATGAAATTACAGTATGTGCAACTACCACTGTAAATGCTATCAGGCATACAATGATGATCAATATGGTCCCAGCCCACAGGAATCTTACATTCTAGAAGAAGATATAAAAATAAAATTACCAGGTTAAAAAGCAACAATGAGTAATCTTAGGAGCAATCCTAGGAGGCTGAGGCAGGACGACTGCCCATTCAATTTAAGTTTTATTTTATTGAAAAATTTTAAAAGGGCTAAAGCAGTGATGGCGAACCTTTCAGGGCTATCAATGATAACAAACAGTCAGCTGTGTGGTATGTGTGCCAGAGGGTCATGACCACTGGGGTAGGCACACGGGTAGCTCAGTGCAATCCGCTCTATCAAAAAGGTGGAGGGTACTGCTATCAAGAATTTAAAGAAAGTAATAAGTACCTTCAAAAGTTTTTGGCTTTCTTTTTCTACCAAGTGTAACTTAATTCAAAATCTGATTGAATTCCTCCCACAGGAAAACTCCTTGCTTTCTGATATTTATTCGGGGGAAACACTCATGACTCTTGCTTAAAAAGTCAAGCTAAGACACAGAAAGTTCTAAGAAGTTCTTCAGGACTGGGGACGTAGCTCAGTGGTAGTGGCTACCCAGCCTGAGCAAGGCTCTGGGTTCAATCACCAGTACTGAAAGCAAAAAAGTTGATTTAGCATGTAATAGTACTTTAGTGTGAAAACATGAAAGAAAATAATTCACCTTTTTAACTTTGGTCGCTGTGAAGTTGACTGTGATGCAGGATTTGAAAACCCTGTGCTTTTACTTACTGGAATGGCATTTTTTTTGGCATTAACAACCTGAGCAGGGTGGGCACTAAAGGACTTAGGGCTCCTCCTCTTCACTTTCCGCTCTTCCATTGTCCTGAGTTCCTTATTGCTACTGTGCCTAGGGCAGCTTCTTAAGACCTGAATAAGAAAATACAACAATCACATGTGTGCTATAAGATGCAAAAGTGAAAGAGATAGAAAGACTCATTTCATGACATGAAAGAGGATCAAGAATTTCAGAGGTCATCCGACAAAGCTAGACAAATTCCTTAAGTTTACTTGTCTGGTAGACTTTTAAAAATACCATTTTCTGGGCCAGGGATTTAGCTCAGTGGTTCCACTGCCTGCCCTGAACGTAAAAAGACCCAAGTTCAATCCCCGGTACCAAAAAAATAAAATAAAATAAAAACCATTTTCTTTATTCACTCATCCTATAAATATTTACTGACTCTCTTCCAAGAGCCAGACACAATTGGGAATACTGGAGAAATGCCGAATAAGACAAAGTCCCTTCCCTCAAGACACTGACATTGTGCAAGGTGAATTATATATATATATATTTTATATTTTAAGCGAATTATCCACGTAACATCTGAGCCTGACTCAAGCTTTAGATGGCCATTAGGTCTCTCTCAAAATTGTAATTCTCTGAGGAAGAACAAACCAGATTCAAACATGTATAACTGTTGAAACATCAGCACCTAAAAGAGTTACATCACCAAGGAGAAACTCAGTTCATGCCTAGGTTACCGCTAATTCTAGTTCTGTGATTAAAAGAAGTACTACGAAATTAAATTTGTTTCTTGTCTAATCTGAATATAATTTCTCTTACCTATGTCCAAAAAGACATGAATTATATGTTGTTTTCCCGTATTAAAACATTCCTATAAGTCACAGAAGTCCCTTCCATGGGGAATACGTGTAGGACCTCCGATTTACCCAACACCTTCCCCTTATTTCATGAATTAACCAATTTTATTTTCTCAAATCATCTAAAAATATCCTTCTACACTTCTTTTTTATTTGTGTACAGTTATATTTTTCTTAATTCCATTGATTCATGTATTGTAAAATGTGAAATTTAGATGAGAAACTTTTTCAGATTGTAAATTGCGCTAGAAAATTCACGACTTTTTAAAAACATTCCGTTAAACCAATGGTGCTTTCTAAAGTACAGTGTTCCAGGGGTTTAGGGCTTAAGATTTATTGGTTTGAGACGGTACCATTTGGCACAAGGGCAAAAAAATCCTTCCTGTACACCCAGCAGCAAGGAACGTTTTAGAGAAGGCGTGAGCTGCTCATGGTTACTCACACACCGATTTTGAGGGCCAGGTTCTTCCTCCAAGCAGGACCCCCGGAGTCCCTCTTGTCACCTCAGTGTCCTGCCCCAATCTGCCGAAGCGATGACCCATCACTACCCAGAACCCAGCAGTGGCCACAGTGCGTCCTTTAGGAAGGGCCTAAAGGAGAAGGCTGCGGGGGTTCCTTTGCTTCCACGACCTACCCGATGAAGAAGGAGGCCGGGGGTCCCTTTCCTCAACCAGCAAGGAGCGATATGCCCCGGAAGGCACCACCGCAGCTGCAGCTAGTGCGGGACTCACATCCCCCGACCCGCGCCTCCGCAGCGCCCCTTGTTTACGGAAGTGACGCAAGGAGGCACAGCCTCCTTTCCCGGGGCGGAAGCCTCTGTTCCTGCTGGACGGGCCTTGCTGCAGTCTGCGCCCTTGGCACTGCGTGACTTCCCCTTCCCTACCTTCAGGTGCGACTCTGACGGCCGTGGAAAGGAAGATTCATGGCTAGCGTTTAACTTTAGGCTCTGCGACCGACAAGCAGGGAGTGATAAAGAGTGGCGGTAGAGGTAGGAATGGTGACTAGTGTCCCTCCCGGATGTGGCCCCACCCCTCCCTGAGCGTCTCCGCCGCTCTACCGTTCCCAGCATGCTCTTCGAGCAGGCGCGGGGGCGGGGCAAGGCGTCACCATGGCGACAGCTCCCAGATTGTTCCCGAATCTTTGCCCGCACTTTCCGAAGCGGAACTAGTTCGGTTCAGAAGCCAGTGCACAAAGGCGCGGTTTTGTTGGGACCTGAGCCCGGAAATGCAATTCTGTTACTACTGCCGTTAATAGCTATTGTGTTCGGGCGCCCGGCCTGCCTTATATGTAAACCTGGGTACAGTTCCTTGCGATGTCTCGGAAATCTCCGTTTTAGAAATGAGGCCTCTGACACTTAGGCTGCGATCCAGCTGTCTCCAGCCAATGACTGTTCTGTTGCACTCCTTCCCTAGAGGAGGAATTTCAGGTTGGGAGAGAAGGCTGTATCCTGAACGAGAGAACTCCGTACTTCATTCCCGGGCCTGGGTAGCCTTCCCGGGGTGGGCTTGGGGCGGTGATTACAAAGCGCTGTACAATAAATAAGACAGGCCCTTACCTTGCCTCCTTTTTTTTTTTTTTTTTTGGTCTTTTTAAAAAGGACAGAGCAAAAACTCATAAACCCCAGTATGCAAAGTGAACGTATGTTACTTTTTGCCATTTCACATTTTTTTAATGAAACAGCACATTTAAGAAAAGTCAGGTGCTCTCTGTTCCCAGTCCTACGCTACTCCTTTTGAGGCATCTGGGATCATGAATTGGAAATGAATCTTGCTAATCCAGGTTTCTATATGTACGTATTGCCTATTACCTTGTATTTGTAAACAGTGTGTGGTGGCGCACACCTGTAATCCCAGCACTCTGGGAGGCTGAGGCAGAGGATTGCCGTGAGTTCGAGGTCGGCCTGGGCTACATAGTGAGCTTAAGACCACCCTGAGATAACCTGCCTCAAAAAAAATGTATAAAACGACTTTGAGCTTTTAAAATTTCACAAGAATGCTCTTGTAGTGTGTGCAGCTTGTTTTTTGTATGTGTGGTTTTTTTTTTTTAACCGAACTCTTTTTTGTTTGTTTGTTTGTGGTACCGGGGGTTGAACTCAGGATCTTGCGCTTGTGAGGCAGGCACAGTACCGCTGAGCTAAATCCCTGGCCCTTTTTTTTTTTTTAACCGAACTCTTTTTTGTTTGTTTGTTTGTGGTACCGGGGGTTGAACTCAGGATCTTGCGCTTGCAAGGCAGGCACAGTACCGCTGAGCTAAATCCCTGGCCCTTTTTTTTTTTTTTTTTTGGTACCAGGGATCAAACTCGGGACCTTGAGCTTTCGAGGCAGGCAGCGGCACCACTGAGCCAAATCCCCGGCCCCTTTGTTTTTTTGATCTATCAACATTGATACCTATGGCTGGACTTCATTTGTTTTAACTGCACAATCTACCAGATGGGATTGACTTGGAGTTCCTATAGTCATAAATACTTAAATTGTTTTTTATTTAACAGCATTACAAGCAGTGTCAGTATCTTTTCAGTGTCTCCTCTTTGTGTGTGTGTGTTGTGTGGTGATGAACCCCCCAGGGTCTTTGCCCTGAACTACATCCCATCCCCAGCCCTTTTTTATTTTGGGGTTTTTTTTGGTACCAGGGATTGAACTCCGGTCCTTGTGCTTGCACAGCAGGTGGCAAAACCACTGAGCTAAATCCCCTGCCCCCTGGCCCTTTTTTAAAAAAAAAATTTTTTTTTTTTTACTTTTTGAGTGTAATTCTCAGACTAATTGCCTAGGCTGAGCTTGAACTTGTAATTCTCCTGCCTCAGCCTCTCAGAGTATTGGAATTACAGACATGCACCACCACACCCGGCTGTGTCTCTTTTTAAATAGTCTCTAATTGTCTTATTTGGATGAGCAGAGCTTGCAAACCAGTGATTCATATGCTATGTTAATTTTTTAATAGGTTGCTAACAGCTAAAGCCAAAAGGGTTTTTGGCATCCTATGAATAAGTGGGAAGATCTGAATTCCCTAGATTTGCAGTATAGCCTGGCAGCAGTGGTTGAAGCTGAAGGGCAACTACCTCCTTTAGATTAGTCAAGTGACATCTAGGTTTTCTTTGCCTTTAGTGTTCATTTTAGCCTTGTGGTGCTGGAGTTTACAACCTGCAGTACGACGTGCTCAGTGGCCTTGGCTCCTTTTCCTCCCACACTACAGTGCCTAGGCCAAGACCGGCCGCTGTTCGGTCTCATTCTTCATGTGCCTGGTTAAGGAAACAGTTTTAAAAGTTCACAGAGAAAGCCAGGTGTGGTGGCACACACCTGTAATCCCATCACTCAGGAGGCTGAGGCAGGAGAATCACCACGAGTTCTAGGCCAACCTGGTCTACATAGTGAATTCAAAGCCAGCCTGGACTACACAATGAGAGTCTTTCAAAAATTTCTTTCTTTCTTTGAGACAGGGTCTACCTATGTAATTCAGGCTGGCCTTGAACTCATTGTGTAGCCTAGGCTGCCCTTGAACTCAGAGGCTCCTGAGTGCTGGGATTACACTTGGCCACATTTTTGGGGTTTTTTTTCGGGTACCGGGTATTAATGATCAAACTCAGGATCTTGCACTTGCCAGCCAGGCACACTTTCCTTAGGGCAAGAGTAGTTACCAAATTGGGGAATGATTGGGCTGGGGCTTTAGCTCATTGGTGCCACCGCCTGCCTCACAAGCACAAGGTCATGAGTTCAATCCCCGGAACCAAAAAAAAAACTGGGGGGCCGGGGATTTAGCTCAGTGGTTCCACTGCCTGTCTCGAAAACTAAGGATCCGAGTTTGATACCCGGTACCAAAAAAAAAAAAATTGGGGAATGATTATCAGTAAGAAGATGATTTAGCACCCCTGTATCTTTCCTCCAGTTCTCGCGATAGTCTCTGGTTTAAGAAGGAGGCCGTGCTTTGGTGCTGCCTTCCCTCAGCTCTTTCTCAGTGGCTGGAATTCTGGGCTGCATTCAGGAGCATCACTGTGGTACAGCACAGATGCGAAGCAGTACCTACGGGAACAGCTTTCAGAATGGTAGAGTGGCTGGGGGAAGGGAGAGATGGAGGGATGGAGGAGGGGAGCAGAGAGAGGGAAGAAGGAAGGAAAGCAAAGCAAGGATTCCCAAACACTTTGTTTCTTTATGTAACATAGAAGTTTAAAACCCAGACTGAACCTGGTGTGGTGGCTCACACCTGTAATTCCAGTACCCTGGGGGGCCAAGGCTGCAAGAGAGCAAGTTGGGGCCCAGCTTGAACAACTTAGTGACTTAGCAGGGTACTGTCTCAAAAAGGGCTGGGGACAGAGCTAGATGCAAAGGCCCTGGATTCCATCTGCAATACAAACAAAACAAAAAACAAAAACCTGTTACTGAGTTTTGGAGCGCTGGGGTCTGCTTCCGGAGTTGGTTTCTAGGTTCTTCTTGTCCTGAACAAGGAATTGGACAAAACAAGTGCAAAAGGTAGTGAGGTTTTATGTTTATTAAAGTGGGAAAGACAAACATGCTCTGCAGAGCAAGTTTGGGCCAAGTAAAAGTAGAAAGAGAGGTGCAGTGTGAGGGGAGCTCAAGGGCACTGCCCCTGTGTGTCTCCCATCCTCAGGTTGGCCAGGTCTAAGCTGACATTCAACGGTTCGAGTCTCCGGAGAAGTCCCTGTGCAGGGCTTCCGGAAGCGTTCTGCGCATGCCCCTAGGACTTTGTAATTAATAGGCCACGCCCCTCTCCTCCAGCCAGCTGGCCAAGGTCTGGTCTCCTGCCCCAGTACAGCTCTTGCCTTTGAATAAGTTGGCATCATTTCTGTCAATAGAAAAATAAATCTTTATGTAGGGGCAGGAAAGGAGATGGTTACTGATTGTGCAGTCATAATGAGCTGTGACAGTTGTGTATGTATGCACAGGCACAGGTGCACATAAGGCTGAGTTTGAGGATATGAGGTTGAGAAAGTTGAAACTGGAGATTAAACCCAGAGGTTCTCTCAGTGGCTCCATGCCTACCTGGGAAGTGCAAGGTCCTGAGTTTGATCCCCAGTACCAGAATTTTAAAAAACAAAACAGAGGTGCTCTACCACTGAGCTATAGCCTCAGCCCTGTATGTTTGTTTGATTGGTTGTTTGTTTGTACTGGGGATCGAACTTGGGACCTTGGGCTTTCTAAGCAGGCATGGTGCCACTGAGCCAAAACCCCAGCCTGGTTGTTTATTTTTAAGACAGTGTCTCATTGAGTTGCCAAGGCTAGTCTCAAACTTGGGATCCTCCTGGCTCAGCCTCCTGAGTAGATGAGATTAGAGGCACGCACCACTACACCTAGTCAAGATAAACATGTTTGAAATTCCTATTGAAATAGGAATGTTTCAAAGATGTGGTTTTTTTATAAAATGGAGTACTACTCAGCCATAAAGAACAAGAAATTAGAGACATTTATAGCTAAATGGATGCATATTGAGGACATACTCTTAAGTGAAATAAATAGGACACACGTGTAAATACCGAATAGTTTCTCTAGTGTGAGAAACTGAAAATGTAAATAAGAATTTAAATGATTAAAATGAATAATTGATAATTTGAAATGGGAAGAAAACGTCCAAAGGGGTAGGGGATGTGGGAGGGGAAGAGGAAAGGGAAGAAGGGAAAGGAAAAATTATAGAAAAGGAAAAAATGGAAACGAAGTCTATGTAAATAGGGAAGGGTGGAGGGGGTGAAGGGTGTACAGGTAATGGGGAAAAAAGTAAGAACCAAGATACATCATGTACAGGTACAAGCACCCAATGATAAATGTAAATGTTTTGTATATGTAAAATGTACCAATAAAAGAATTTAAGCAAAAGAAAAAGGAATGTTTCAATTAAAGAACTTTTTTTTTGTTTCTTTGGAGGCAAAGAAATTAATTATTAATTATTAATTTATGTGAGTAAAATTCCACGTTGTGGTCCTTAAACTGTATTAAAGACATTTAAACCTTGTTGATTCTAAGGATACCTAATTTGAATAACAGATTCTATTATAACTCTAGTCATCAGATTATTGAAACTTGCAGCTTTAAAATACTTCTTTTTAGACTTAGGATATAATGCTTTTATAAG